TGGTTTCTACCGTCATCTCAAGATCGCCACCCCCGAGGATGAGGACAACAACCTGCTTCACTACACCCTTATTCTGCTCATCATTGGTGTCCCCGTCGGTCTGCCCGTCGTCACCACCACCACCCTCGCTGTCGGTGCTGCCTACCTTGCCGAGCAGAAGGCTATCGTCCAGAAGCTCACTGCCATCGAATCTCTTGCCGGTGTCGACATTCTCTGCTCTGACAAGACTGGTACCCTTACTGCCAACCAGCTCTCCATCCGTGAGCCCTACGTCAACGAGGGTGTCGATGTTAACTGGATGATGGCTGTCGCTGCTATTGCCTCCAACCACAACGTCAAGAACCTCGACCCCATCGACAAGGTTACTATCCTTACTCTCCGCCGTTACCCCAAGGCCCGTGAGATCCTCGCTCGCAACTGGGTTACCGAGAAGTACACTCCCTTCGACCCCGTCTCCAAGCGTATCACCACCATCTGTACTTGCGACGGTGTCCGCTACGTCTGCGCCAAGGGTGCCCCCAAGGCTATCCTCAACATGTCTGAGTGCTCCGAGGAGGAGGCCCGTCTCTTCCGTGACAAGGCTACCGAGTTCGCTCGCCGTGGTTTCCGTTCTCTCGGTGTTGCCGTCCAGAAGGAGGGTGAGCCCTGGCAACTGCTGGGCATGTACCCCATGTTCGACCCTCCCCGTGAGGATACCGCCCACACCATCGCTGAGGCCCAGGTCCTCGGTCTGTCCGTTAAGATGTTGACTGGTGATGCTCTTGCCATCGCCAAGGAAACTTGCAAGATGCTTGCCCTGTCTACCAAGGTCTACGACTCCGAGCGTCTGATCCACGGTGGTCTTGCCGGCTCTGCCCAGCACGACCTTGTCGAGAAGGCTGATGGTTTCGCTGAGGTGTTCCCCGAGCACAAGTACCAGGTCGTCGAGATGTTGCAGCAGCGTGGTCACTTGACTGCCATGACTGGTGACGGTGTCAACGATGCTCCTTCCCTCAAGAAGGCTGATTGCGGTATTGCCGTCGAAGGTTCCACCGAAGCCGCCCAGGCCGCTGCCGATATTGTCTTCCTCGCCCCCGGTCTCAGCACCATCGTCGATGCCATCAAGCTGGCCCGTCAGATTTTCCAGCGTATGAAGGCCTACATTCAGTACCGTATCGCTCTGTGTCTCCACCTTGAGATCTACCTCGTCACCTCCATGATCATCATCAACGAGACCATGCGCGCTGATCTGATTGTCTTCATCGCTCTGTTCGCCGATCTTGCCACCATTGCCGTTGCCTACGATAACGCCCACTTCGAAGCTCGTCCCGTCGAGTGGCAGCTTCCCAAGATCTGGGTCATCTCCGTCGTTCTTGGTATCCTCCTTGCTGCCGGTACTTGGATCATCCGTGCCTCTCTGTTCCTGTCCAACGGTGGTATCATCCAGAACTTCGGTTCTCCTCAGGAGATCCTCTTCCTGGAGGTTGCCCTTACTGAGAACTGGCTGATCTTCGTCACCCGTGGTGGTAAGACCTGGCCCTCGTGGCAGCTGGTTGGAGCCATCTTCGTTGTCGATGTGCTCGCCACCCTCTTCTGTGTCTTCGGTTGGTTGTCCGGTGAATACAAGCAGACCAGCCCCCCCAGCCCTGCTGAATTCTCCGTCAACGGTGATGTCGACATTGTTACCGTCGTTGTCATCTGGGCCTACTCCATTGGTGTCACCATCATCATTGCCGTGGTGTACTACATCCTCACCATCATCCCCGGCCTTGACAACCTTGGACGTAAGAACCGCTCGAAGGCCGACACCAAGATCGAGAACCTGCTCGGCCACCTCTCCAAGCTTGCCATCGAGCACGAGGTTGATGCCCACGGCAAGTCCCGTTACACCCTTGGTGCCCGTGCCGAAGAGGTTGAGGAAGATGAGTAAACATTTACGCTCATTTCCTTTTAATATGATCCGCTCTGGATAATCACTCCGCATACATGCATGGGCTGGCTTCTGAGCCCAGCTGCGCATACCCCCTTTTTTCCGTATCATAGACTTTTTTTTTTCTTATTACTTTTTTGTCTCTACGTTCATAGAGTCAATTTTCTCTTCTTTCACATGTATGTATGTCATTAATAGTGGTAAATTTAGTGAAATCAAACCAAGGGTTCATTCAAGAAAAAACTGTCTTCTCCATTTTATCTTTATCTTTAGCTTATTTTCCATACTAACAAAACGCATTGGCTTTGGTAAGGAACGATTTCCACTTCCTCTGAGAATCTGACTCCAATCTTCGGTGGGGGGGAACCCGTGACTGAGACCACCCGACTTGGACTCACCGGAAACTCCGACGGAAGGATTCATTTTCCTTCTGTTGTGCGCTGGGGGCTGATTTGGATCGGCTAGCAGGTTAGCAACCCAGCAGCAGAGCTATCGAGGGAAGCCCCCACGCTCCACTCGCTGCACGAATTCCTAGTTTCTTTGACGCTTGGCAGGCACGGTGGGCCTTTGCGTCTGCTTAGTTGCTTGTATTGTCCTATCGACGCGAGTCGCTGCGATAACTCCCCCCCATCTCGGCCTCGGACGACGCCCGATGTGGTGAGACCGAGGTTACCACCGAACAATGCGAGACTTGCTGCATGTTGGAGCTGTGATGGATTCTCTCCACCGGGAATTCTGAGCGACTGATTGCTTGCTTTGCTTTGCTTCGTGGTGCCACGACCACGAGCTATCTAGTCTATGGCCATCGCCGGCGTGCTTTACGCGAACGCACTCGCTAGCCTGAAATCTGGATCCTTGCACCCAGCGGTATGACTCGTCCCTTCGTCTCCAATTCCGCTGCTCTCATTCGCGAATCCCCCAAATTGGGATGCTACTCCGTTGTGCCTGAGTGTTTCCACTTGGCTCTCCTAACGCGTGACTTGTTTCATGCTCTCATTTCGGCTTATCGAGACCTTTTTCATTTCCGTTTCCAACCGCTGGGATACCTCCACTGGTACGGAGCAAAGGCCTTGATTATGAGGCTTTTTCTGTCATTTGAATATTATTATTTCTTTTTTTATATTCTTTTTTTTCCTGCGTAATTTAACTAACTATTCGTGGTCGTGCTGACGTGATGGGATAGTCTCGTGCACTGTCCACCTCGACGAGCCTAAGCTATGAGCATCGCTCCATGTCTACAGCGCTGTATACTTTCGTACGATACACTTTCAGGTAGATAATGTCAGAAATACGCTGAATATACACTCATCATGAATTCCCACGGCGTGGAATCGTTGTCTCTCCGCATCCCATCACCACGCTGACAGGCGGAATGCAATTCTCCGCCTCACCTGCTCTGATTTCTCCGTCGCCTCGTCCGGGGTAAACAACTTTGCGGGGATCGCAGCACACCCTCGCACACAATTGGATGCGCGATATTGGCTTTGGATTCAAGCCGCCTGGCTATGCTTGAGTCCGGGAATCATGTTCATCTGCCGATACTTGTTGTCGCTGATTGGCATTGTTCTCTCCGCAATTTCTCCCGCGGGTGATGTGGGTTGAGGGAGATTTTCCGGGGAAGTCGAATTGGCCAATATGACGATATGGAGGTATTTAATGATACAAGGTGAGGAGCGGATCATCGCGCTGTTGGAATTGACGCGGTGTCTGTGTTGAAATACGCGGTGGAATAATGAAGCTCTCAACTTTATCTACGTTGCTGTTCTGCGCGGCAGGAGTTTATTCGGCGGCTGTGCCTTCGAACTCTCGACATGCTTGCCAGAAATCTCATAAGTATTGCGCCCCTGGGACTATTGTCGTCTCGAAGTCGTCTCACCCGGCGGCACAATTCTCGACCGTCCAGGCAGCCATTGAGTCCCTGCCCGACGATAATTCTACCCAGACGATCCTGATCCTACCAGGAGAATACAAAGAGCAAGTCAATGTGACGCGATCGGGCCCCATCGCCCTGCTAGGCCAGACGAATGACCCGAAAGATGCCACCAAGAACAAGGTCACACTCACCTGGGCGCAGGCCAATCACGACAACACCGGAAAGGCCGTAGACAATGTCTTCTCGAGCGTCTTGACCGTTGCTCCGACGCTGGAGTCCAGCTACACGGGGTCAGGCCCAACGGGATATCCGGTGCCTGAGGATACGCCGTTCGGCAATGTGGATTTCCGAGCGTACAATATCGACTTCACAAATACTTGGTCCGATTACTCGGACGGACCGGCTCATGCACTCAGCTTTAGCCGCGCCAACGGAGGATTTTACTACTGTGGATTCTATTCCTACCAGGATACCGTATGTCTCTTCCTCATCTCCTACGAAAGCAAGAGCACTAGTGTTAACGAGTGGGAAATAGGTCTACGTCGGCAAGCTCGGCAACGCCTACTTCCATAAATCCATCATCGCCGGGCAGACCGACTTCATATACGGTTTCGGCACCGCCTGGTTCCAGTCCTCGCAGCTCCAGCTCCGTAACTGCGGTGGCGGCATCACCGCCTGGAAAGGCACCAACACCACCTTCGTGAACAACTACGGCGTCTACATCGTCGACTCCTCCGTCAAGGCGGCCAACGCGTCCATCGCTCCCACTATTAAGGGGAAGTGCGCTCTCGGCCGTCCCTGGAATAGTCTCCACCGGTCGATCTTCGCCAACACCTACGAGGACGAGAGTATTTTGCCGGCTGGGTACATCGACTGGGTGGTTGACGGGCAGAGCCGTCTGACTAGCCAGACCTTCCAGGCCGAGTACAAGGCGTTCGGACCGGGATTCAGTGCCTCCGGACGCGCCGGCACGAACGCCAGCATCGTGCTCGATGGACGGGGGTATCAGCGGTACGATTCGCTGAAGAAGGTATTCCAGACGCCGGAAGGCAAGTTCGGAAACGTGGGATGGATTGATCGGACTGTCGATTAACTTCACACCCTCATCACCACTAGCATGATCTCCATATAGTGAAAATACAACTATCATACACTCCCAGATCCAATCTTTGCCAACCAACCATCAGTAAAAACTCAAACCCAAACCCAAACCCAGACCTAACTCAATCGATCCAACTTCCCCATCCTCGCCAAATAAGCCGCCCCCGTATCCGCCCAAACCTCATACGACTTGACCTTCACATCATCGCCACCGTCCTCATCTACCAGTCCAATCCGATACGCAAACCCCTCCTCCCACGCCTGATTCGTACTCTTCCATCGAAACTGCGCCTCTCCGCGCAAAGACACCTTCCTCTCGCTTTCCCCTTTCCCTTTGCCATCCCCTTGCTCCCCATCAAGGTCAACCACCCATCCCCCCTCCTCCTCGAACCGCATCCACTCGATCTCCAACGTCTCCGCCAACAACGTGAAATACGTCTTTAAGCCTTCGAGGCCGGTGTATTTCCGGCCCAGGAAGGGCGCTAGCAAGGGGAGGCCGTGCTCGAGGGCCCAGGGATCCGATGAGGTGAAGTTGGAGAGGAGTGTTTGGAGAGAGGTCGATGGGTTGCTGAAGGCGTTGAGGAGGGCGTGCGTGCGCGTGAGGACGGCGGAGCGGGACATCTTTTTTTCTAAGTCCCCCTTTTTGGGGGTTCTGGGGAGGTGGTTGGATGGCTGATGTAGTTGGATTGGATGTGTATTTTGGGGATTTGGTTGAAGGTGGGTGTGAAAGAAGAAGATGATAATGGGAAGGAGGAGGTTGGAAGCTTGAAGGTGTGGATGGATTTGATATGGTGATGTGGTGAAGATGACATCATATTAAAATATCCCGGGGTTAATCTTGTTGTATGTACGTACTCGGAGTAGGATTGATTACATGCTGCATTAAAAGTATTTCAAAGTGTACGGAGTCTGCGGCAGTGGCCTGACTGAGGATTCCACAGTCAAAGTATGTCACATCCGGTCCTAATAGATTGTTTGTTGTACACCGACAATTTACCCCGAGCAGCTCACGCAGCGCTCAGACTACTTAAGAACTATATATGTACTGCACATAATTTATTTTGATTCATTATATACATCGTGACAAGGGGGTGAACATGTTTTTCATGATAACAAGAAGCCAAATAACCAATTGCCGAGCTATTCTATTCAATGTCTTGGAAGCAAATCTCAAAAACGATGATAAATATGTGCTGGACATCAAAGGGTAAGGGCACTGGTCTGGTCTGATCTAATTGCGAAAGGCAGGTAACTCGCGGCGGAGGGAATATCGAGGAAAGTTCCAAGGTATTATCATCGCCTGCGTGATTGGCCCTTCCAGGGACCAATACTGGAAATGGGTTTCGAATGATGATCGAGTGAGGGGAGCTCGATGCATCGATGACCTGTGTTAGGCTAGACACGTCATCCGTCACACACGCACCGTGGTATTCTTACCGCACGCGAGTAGCTCCTGTCGTTGTATTGGGGGTATAAGACGAAAAAGCGGGAGGGGTGAAAGTGGATGGGGGGGGGTGAGTGATCTATCAAGGAACCAGAAACCTGTCTTTACAGGCCAGTCTTTCCAAGAGCGGCAGCAAGCTCGTCAACCTCTTTGTCTTGCTTCTGGGCGACCTTCTCGTTCTCGGCCCGAGCGGCGTCCTCGACGACCTTCTCGGCCTTGTGCTCTTCTTCCTCTTCCTCTTCCTCCTCCTCCTCCTCCTCCTCATCGCTCTCAAGCTCGTCGAGTTCGTCGACACCCCACATGTCCTCAGGGTCGTCATCCCTGCCGTGCTCCTCCTTTCGAGCCTCCAGGACCTCTTGCAGCTCGACCACATTCTCATCTTCCTCCATGAACTTGTTGCCGTTCAGCTCGATGCGGCGCAGCGACGGGAGCGCGGTCTTGGTCGCATGCAGGAACTGCTTGACACCCTCAGCAGTGATGTCGTTGTACTGCAGACGCAGGGTCTCCACCTTCTGGTTCTTAGCGTCCGCCAGAGCCTGAGCAACCTTGACACCGCCGCGAGGGGAGAGCAAGCAGTCGCCGACACCGAGTTCGCGCAGAGCGGGCCAGCCCGGGAGGACCTCGGCCAGAGCCGTGGATCCCATGAGGGTGAAGGTGTTGTCCTGCAAGTCGAGAACCTCCAGACCGCTGGCGTGGCGGAGACCCTCGCGCAGAAGGTGCGAGATACCCTCCTGGCGGATACCATTCTGAGTCATCTTCACGGAGCGCATGCCGGCGGCGTGCATCTCGTAGGCACGGGCCCAGGCGGCCATGCTGCCGTTCTCCAGACGATTCCGACCGCAGACGATGCTCTCCAGAGGAGCGACCTCCTTGCCGGCCTTGCGGGCCTCCTCTTTGCGCTCAGCCAGCTCCTTCAGGGCGTCGGCGATCTCGGCACCCGCGTCGGGACCCATACCGTTGTTGTTCAGGATCAGGTGGCGCAGAGGGACATGGCAGGAGAGGAAATCGACGAGGGGCTTCGAGGTGCGTTTGCCGAAGGCATTGTCGGAGAGGTTGACGGTGTGGAGGGAGGGGATCGCGAGAAGGGCGTTCAACAGGTGGGTCAGAGCATCGGGGATCTCTTCGATCAGACGCGAGGTGAAGATATCGGCCAGCTCGGCCACTTCGAGATTCTTCTGCGTGGCGAAGGCAGCGGCGAAGCGTTCACAGGCCGTGACGCCGAAAGTGTTGCCCCCAAGACGGATCTCAGTATAGTCGGCGCTCTCCAGCAAGGGCTTGATATGGGCCTCAACATCCTCAGCGGTGTCGAGCTTGAGGCCTTTGCCTTCAAGAGAAAAGACCTTTGGAGGGGCCATGGCGGGGTAAATTTCAGGGTGGGAGAGATCAAGATTGTAGATTGCAATTCGACGAGCGAAAAGTCAAAAATGGACAGACTTTGGAGAGACCGCGTGAGAGGTGGCCGCAGGGTGTATGCAAACCTGGGAACAGGAACAAAGAATGTGGTGAAAGAATGCAAGCGTGGAGGCGAAAAAAAAGGCGAGGGAGAAAAAAAAAAACACAGAAGGCAAAATAAAGGCGGAACTTGGACTCTTTGCGATGGCCTCGTCCCTCCGCTAGTCCCGATGCGGTTGGCGCCGATCCTCCTGTACGGCCGGCGGGAAGAACCCTCTGCGCAGGGCATCGCATCATTTGGATTATTCAGCCTCGCTTTTCTTCCGGTTTCTTGCTGCAACTGTCAACTGTCAACTGCGCACTTTCTCTTTGCCTTACAATTTCTGTCACTCGCTGCCATCTTCCCCCCTCAATATATCATAATGTCTCTCTTCGGCTCTTCCAGCGGTAGGTCTTTCTTCAAACATACCCGATGCGCTCCGCATGTTCATCCAATCAATCCAACCGGAGCACCGAAAACTTAAAGAAAGTGACAATAACATAACTAACATACCAATTTACTATCTAGGCCCTGCTGAACAGGCTCCTCCTGCCCCCGCTCCCCTTGCGCAAGCTGCGCCCGCCGAGAAGCCCAAGGTACGTTGAGTCAACAGCCTCACGTTACAAACGCCGCTCTCCGGACTCCTCCGACTGACACATACATACCCGTCACAGCCCTGCTGCGTCTGCAAGCCCGAGAAGACGGCCCGGGACGACTGCATGCTGTTCTCGAAGTCCGATGACCCGACGCAGGAATGCAAGTCCACGATCGACCAGTACAAGGCCTGTATGGCTGGATTCGGCTTCAAGGTCTAGATCCGTTCGGATCCATTTCCGGTCTCGTGCTGTTGATGGGATAATGGGGATGCATTGAGAAACTTGGTTATCTCATGTCAATTGATTGCATGTGGATGCGTGCATGCGGCTGTTCGGTTTTTCTGCATGGTGTTTTGGTTTGGGCTGCGTTGTATATTACCTGGATGAGATATCTCCTTTCATGTGCTATAGATAGATGTAAATTAGGATTTAATTCCATGTTCCATATTGACTGTATGTCCCCTTTAGAAGACCAGGAGAGGAAATGTTTGAATTAGAACTGGGTATCATTGGTTAAATTTTGATCTAAGTAGATAAAACACTCATCCTACTGCTTTTTCTTCTGAGTCTCTTCCGCCGTCTTGCGATCAATCGAACAGCACTGCGAGATCAATTTCGTCAAACACCAAAGGTACGCAAGACCAAACCCTCCGGCGCCGACAAGAACGTTCAGCACCACCCACAGATCCGGCTTTCCGGGGGGAGGAGGAACAAAAGCCTCTACCACGTGCCATCCAATCATAGCCAGATAGAAGCAGAAGTGAAGAAGTTTGGTGAGGATGTGAAGTTCGGCGCGTGGACCCGAATCTTCCGAGGTGGGTCGCGTGCGGAAGATTTCCAGCGACGTCGGCGGGAGACCGAGCAGATAAGCCCACAGGAGCGACATAACAAAGTACGGCACCCGAAGCTCGTCGCGCTTGAGGAGGGGGTACATAGTCCAAGATCCGAGCATGTTGGCCCATCCTACCCATGCGCGAGTTTCCTTGGTGAGTCCTCCGTCACCGGCCAGGAGAAGTGTCATGGGGAGCAAGGGCAGGAGAACGCTCTTTTCATGCACCTGGAATGAGAACAAGAAGAAGCCCCAAGCTACGCAGGAGAGGGCGGGAAGAAGAAGCGAGGCGCGCGGGTGCCGGAAGACGATGGCGCAAGGAACCAGGATGGATGCCAGTGTAGCACCGAGAGACACTTGTTGAAGAAGGCTGGCTTCGAACCGATGAAGCTTGTAGAATGTGTTAATAGCACACCAAGCATTCGCGACCTTATCTTCGAACAAGCCACGGGCAAAGGGAAAGACTCGGTGGATAATTTGGGTCAGCTGGAACAAGGGCGCATGGAGCAAAGAGCTCTTGTCTAACTCGACGGGAAGCTTTTGCAGCAGCGGAGGCTGTGGAAGCGAGGCCAAAGCCTTTTGGGCATCGACATTGGCAACCCCTACCAATAGCGGGGCAAATAGAACAGCGAAAGCAGCAAGCGTGACGATGGAGATGCAAAGCAGGCGGAGGATGCGGATTTTCGGGAAGATGCAGACGCCCAGAAGGAAAGCGAACATGACCGGAGCATAATAGAGAGCCATCTGCTTGAAACCCAAAGCACCCACGAAGAATATGCAGGCCCAAAGCATGCGGCCAGCCAGTATCGCATCCAAGCTCGCAACGACAAGTCCCAGCATCACGGTGTTGTACTGGAAGTGGCCGTGATCAATGAGTATGGTCGACGGTTGGAGTAGGATGGCAACGAGGGCAATCGAAGCAGACCACACAGGGACATCCTGCATGCGAGTCAAGCGACGTAAGAAATTGACGATGGCAGGGATATAGATGAGGTATTCGGAAACGATCACGGTCGCGCGCATGAACACCTTCAACTGAGGGTCTTCGAAGCCACGGGATTCGTCCAGCGCAAACCAGACGGGGTCGAAAAGCGAACCACTTCTAACTGTCAGTCGTCGAATAGGACTCGTTGAAACACTAGGCAAGGCATTCACATACATTTTCCCAAGGAGCCAGCTATGGTAAGCTGTCAATGGCGGGTAATCCAGGCCCCAGTACTGCAGATCGTACGTGTACCACTTGGACATCGGTAAGTTGATTGTCAATTCCATCCAGTGTCTCTGTGCTTCGAAGTCACCGTGCATGGGGGGTATTTTGAATCCTAACAATGGTTAATATCATGGTGCTCTAAGTCCCAAGGGCTTCCACGCCCTGTCATTTCGACTAACCAGAGTACCCCCACAGACTAACACCCCAGCGAAACAGGCCCACGGCCATCAAGATAAGGGGTAGAACAAGCCATTGGGAAACACCGGCTCGCGCAGCCCAAAGAAAAGAAACCAGAGGAAAGGCAGGCGAGGGTTTCCCCTCCGTCTCCAAGATCAGAGAGTCGTTGGACCCGGCGAAAGAGGAAGCGAACTTTCTCTTCTTCCGCGGGCGATGGGAAGGATTGGGGGGAGCCATGTTGAATTTGAAACCGACAACTTAGTGGGGGACTTCCATTGACTGCGTGTCGTGGCCAATCTCAATTGTAATGAGTTGATGGTATAAAGCGGGAGAACACGGTCGCCGGCGTTGAAGTTTGGCAGGAAGAGAAGCTCCAGAGTAACACTGGGTACCAGGGAGTGACACTCCGGGCGCAGCGATTGGCAGACGGCGATTCAGTACCTCCCAGGTCTCCACTGTTCCACCGGGTAGTTAGACGTGCCTAGACCAAACCACATGGAGGAGGCGGTGTGAAAAAGAAATTTTTGCCAACCCCCAGGGTTTTTTTTTTTTTTCTTCTTCTCTTCTCATCGGAGCTTGCAGTTGCTAAAAATTTTCTTCCTTTAAATTCCCCCATCTGCTCCTCTCATCCTTTTCTATTTTCTCTTCCTCTCAAACTTCACCCTTTCCCATCATCCTTTTGATTAACTGAGATCTAAGATCTGGTTTGATAACTCTTTCCATCTTAGAACTCTTCACTGACGCAGTAGCGTGTATCTTACAAGGTACAACTTCAACAGACATCCTGTGGGCTTTTTACATTTGAGGGCTGTGGGCTGTGGCATATCGCATACCTTTTCCTTGTGGGATCTGTGGGTTACTCTCGTGGGTTTCATCTATAGACGGTTGCATATTTCCTGTCCGTCTCTTGTGGGCTTGAACATTGTCGTTGTGGGCTACTTGTGGGTATCTGTGCTAAAATCTCTTCATTTTTGTTGAGATTAAATCGGGTAATTGTGGGATCGTGAAGAATCTGCCGCACATTTGAAAATTTCTGTCGGTTTTTTGTCCTACAGACATATCTTTGGTTTGTGTCACCTACCAGCTCTTTCTGTCCTGGCTTCCGCTAACCATCTCTCTCTTACCAGTTTCAAAATGTCTAAGACCAAGTCGGTTTCCAAGAAGGGTGGCGAGAAGGCCGTTGACAAGTCCTTGAGCAAGGTCAAGGATGCTGGCGTGAGCAAGTCTTCCCAGTCTCCCAAGGCCAAGAGCAAGCAGATTGCTCGTGACCTGGCTACCAAGGAGAAGAAGTCCAAGAGCAAGAAGAAGGAGCCTACTCCCAGCAGCAGCTCCGACTCTGACAGCGATGAGGAGATGGAGTCCTCCAGCTCCAGCAGCGAGAGCGAGAGCGAGGGTGAGAAGAAGAAGCCTGCCAAGAAGGAGGTGAAGAAGCCCGCCAAGAAGGCTGAGAAGGAGTCCTCTTCCGAGTCCGAGTCGTCTGACAGCGACGAGGACATGGAGGATGCTTCTTCCAGCAGCGAGAGTGAGGAGGAGAAGCCTGCTCCCAAGAAGGAGGAGAAGAAGCCCGCCAAGAAGCTTGAGAAGAAGGAGTCCTCTTCCGAGTCTTCTGACTCTTCTGACTCCGAGTCTGAGGATGAGAAGCCTGCCCCTAAGAAGGAGGAGAAGAAGAAGCCCGCCAAGAAGGCCGAGTCCTCTGACTCTTCCGACTCTTCCGACTCCTCCGAGTCCGAGGATGAGAAGCCTGCCCCCAAGGCCGCTAAGAAGGACTCTAGCGACTCTGACTCCGACTCCGACTCTGACTCCGAGAGCGAGAAGGAGGCTCCCGCCAAGGCCAAGAAGGCTGAGAAGGTATGTTTGAACAACATCTTATGAGGACGGAATGGATGCTAACAAGGACCCATTGCAGTCTTCTTCTGACTCCGACTCTTCCGATTCCGAGTCTGGCTCTGACTCTGACTCTTCCGACTCTGAGTCTGAGGACAGCGACGAGTCCGCCAAGGACTCGAAGAAGCGTAAGGCTGAGGATGACGAGGAATCTGCTACCCCCAAGAAGTCCAAGACCGAAGAGCCCGCTGGCGGTGCCTCGGCCAACCTCTTCGTCGGCAACCTTTCCTGGAACGTCACCGAGGAGTGGCTCCAGCAGGAGTTCGAGGGCTTCGGTGACCTCACTGGTGTGCGCATCATGACCGAGCGTGACACTGGCCGCTCTCGCGGGTAAGTTCATTCGTCCCAACCGCAGAATATGCTGGGCCTGTAGCTGACTCCAATCAGATTCGGATACGTCGAGTTCTCCAACAACATCGACTCTGCTAAGGCCTACGAGGCTAAGAAGGGTGCTGAGATCGACGGCCGTACGATCAACCTTGACTACGCCACCGGCCGCCCGGCCAACAACAATGCTGGTGATAAGGCTCAGGCCCGTGCCCGTTCGTTCGGTGACCAGGCCAGCCCCGAGAGCGACACCCTCTTCCTGGGCAACCTTCCCTTCAGCGCCACTGAGGACTCGATCAGCGAGGTGTTCGGAGCCAGCGGCGGCATCCTGGGCATTCGCCTGCCCACCCACCCCGACTCCGGCCAGCCTAAGGGCTTCGGATACGTTCAGTACGCCTCCGTTGACGAGGCCCGCCAGGCCTACAACGACCTGAGCGGCGCCGAGATTGACGGCCGTCCCGTGCGTCTGGACTTCAGCACTCCCCGCGCCAACAACGGCGGAGGTGCTCCCCGCGGCGGCGGCGGCCCTCGTGGTGGTGGCCGCGGTGGCTTTGGCGGACGCGGTGGTCCTCGCGGTGGCGGCCGTGGAGGCTTTGGCGGACGCGGCGGCGGTGGTGCTCCCAACCGTGGCCGTGGTTCCATCCCCGAGTACAAGGGAACTAAGGTCACTTTCTAAACGCTTAATTGACACGACATGGTAGGAAGAAAAGTTTGTAGGAATAATTTGCTTGCGATTTTGATTTTGAAAAAAAGTTCTTACGTTTTCACTTATGAACTGGGAGTTTGTTAGATTAGACCCGGATAACTAATTCACGACTTCAATTCTTATTCTTCTCTTCTCGTATAGACTCCGGTAACGTGACGGGGGTCTTGGCACCCCGCGTCTTTGTTCCTTTCGGCTGATTTTCCCCTCTCGTTTCTCCCCTTCGTTAGTTGTTTCTCTTGCAGACCGAACAGTCTCTTTTCATTTTATTGATGATCATATTTCTGGTGACGACATCTCCCCTCATCCTTGTGGAAGATCATCGAACGAGCAGAGGAGGCCTGTCGATGATCCGCGGCGGCAGGACAAGTCAGCTGTTGGCCGTCGGCTGATCGAAGGCAACCACTCATTTGTTACTTAGGAACTCCCCTCGTCTTGTTTACTTTCTCTCCGCCATCTGGATCTTTTCTTCCTTCTTGCTCTATCATCCTGTCGATTTGTCGACTCCTCTATCTGTCTATCTGTCTTTTTGTCCCTCATCTCTCAGTGGATCGCGTGCATCGGCCCCAAAGCCCCGTCCCAAGCCCCCGTCACAACGATCTGCAAGAATCACTTCATCGCCCAAAAGATAAGATAATCAGGGCCCACCCCCTCATTGCCGATTGATTGATCGTTGCATCGATCGCTGCTTGACCGCTCCCTTCCTTCCAGTGGTCTGATTGTTCCCCTCCTTGGTCCCTTTTATTCTTTTCTTCCTCTTTCGACTCTTCTCTCCTTTTTCTCTTGTTCCTTTCTCTCTTCTCTATACCCAGTGCTCTTGTCCTCGTACCAGCGCCATGCAGCCCAATCACTATGACCTCCTGGGTCAGGTGCAGGATGAGCCTCGTCCACAGATGACGCGAGAGGCTCATCAGCAGCATAACCCCTTGCCGTCACGCTCGCCATCTGGTGCGGCGCCCACGAGATCAGAAGGTACGTGAGGCTCGTCTTATCTTCTCTCCACGATTGATATCTTACTCCCGTCGTTACTTCCTGGCGATCTCTCCTGCACGTTGCAACATGCATGCAGTTTCGCTATCGTTCTCACCGCCATATTACTTTACCAACATGTACTCATTACAGTATTATTTAGATTCATGGATCGAGGTCTCCTCCCAGCCCTCGTCCTCGTCCTTGTCGTCCGCCGCCACTAATGATGACATTATTACCACCGGTCTCCGTGTCGAGCAAAATGGTTCTCGACCATACCATCGCCGCAGTACACGACGTCGCCTGCAACATCTGGCTACCGTCACCACGGCACAAGTCGACTACTCGTCCCGCGAGCAAAGCAGTAGCCAGGATGAATATGAAGAAAGTGAAAGCGACTCAGACCGTGTCTTGAGCAGTTCAAATGAGGACATGGCTCGCCGCCCGCCAGGAGTTCCGTCCATGACCGGTCTGAGACCGTCTGCCCCGGTCTCGGACGATGCGCCCTCAACTGATGACGATGATAATTCCACTGCGTTAGGGATGCGGATCAGCTCGTCTCCCTTCGTTCCGCAGCCCAACGTCTTCTCCCATCCTCCCGCGTCACAGGACCCGTCCTGGACGAGGCCGCTAGAACGACGTCGTTCTCAACCGAGTGAGGTCTCCAACTGCAGTCGTCGGACCGCCATCCGAAGGAACTCCCAAGCCAGTATACGGTCGGCTCGAAGGTCGTCAACACAGCATAGCCCGTACAACATGATCTCTCCTTCTCACCACGCTGATCACGACGCCGCCCTCCGAGCCAGCCTGTCAACATTACTTTCCTGTGCCGCCGCAGCACGAGGGTTGCCCAAAAATGACTCGCAACCTTCGCAAGCCCCACAGCCAGGTCCCTCTCGGGCACCGCCAGCAGCGTTTCGGCTTGTGTCAGAATCGGTGGCCATGGGAGACGAGGCCGGAGAAGAGGAGGCCGCATCGGCCGCCGAGACCCACGATTCTACTAAGTCGCAGCGGCCAAGACCACCGCCAGCACCAATGCCGGCCTACACAGCACCCAACTCACCCAAGATCAAACGGCGGTCTAGCTCTCCAAAAGATCGTCGCTCATCTTCCAAGAAGAGCCGCCATACCGCCACGGTAGACTCTGCTGGCAGCCCAACTATCATGACGTGGGTTATCAGTGCCGGCGTAGTGGTTCTTTTCTCGGCCATCAGTTTCTCGGCCGGCTATGTGCTCGGTCGCGAAGTGGGGAGAATGGAGAGCGGTACCGGCATGGGATCCGTCATGGGAGATGGGGGATTTTCTGGCGGGAAAGCAACCGCCGGATGCGGTCAAGAAGCTGTTCGAGGAGGGCTGAAACGATTTCGATGGGGCTCTGGAACGCCCGGATCGGGCATCATTGCATGAGGCCAATCAGCCATATGAAGATCTTACGATGATGACGGAAACACGATGCTCATGTGCATGAAACCCCTTTTTTCTCCTTTCCATTGACTTACCGTTGGCTGGGTCGATGTTTTTACGGATCTACATACGAGGTCTCTTTTTCTATTCGTTGCATAAACATGGGGCTGTCTTGGGAAAAAGTACCTTGCAGGTCTATCCTTGGTGTTTTGTTTATATTGGGAGTTTGACTTTTGATTTTTTTTTCTGCTCGACTCACCTGCAATCATCTTTCTTTTGCACGCTATACCCCTTTCCCCCTCGTTTGACGTTGGAACGTAAATCTGTTAGTGAAACTCCGCTATGAAATGGCTGGCTACGTGGTGCATTTGGCTACGAATCGGGCATTTATACAGCTACTGCCATAGGTTTGCACATCTATCCATCGTTGAAATCTTAATATTATTGTTTGGTTCATCACCAATTTCCAATCCATTAAATTATCCCCTGCAATTGTAAAACCCTGTGGAATCCAACACTATACTGAGCATCGAAATAGTCTCCCAGCCTTTGTATTCCAAGAATGTGATCTCGGAATTGAAATCCACGCCGGAATAAATCTAGTTTAATCAACGTCCGGAAATTAGGAGGCGGGGCCCTTGATCGTTCGGAACGGGGCGAGCCAATGTCGCTGATGTCCCCGAATAAATATTCGGTCTACGAGACACCGATGGTTCCCACGGGAGGAAAGTTGGAGATGTTAAGGGTGGGAGCATTGGGGAAAGAATGGCCAATAGGGGCAGTAGGGGCAGGGGTATCCCCTACTGACTCGGCATGCATCGCGCGGCCCTAGAAGACATATTGAAGCGTTCGTAGACAGGCAAGATTCTGTGTTGCAAAATAGGAGGTTGGTGGAAAACGAACTGCTATCTCTAGTAGTTCGTTTCCAGTTGCATGGAGAGAGGAGAGGTCCAAACGGCGTAGATGTCGGATTTTCTGTAGGCATTCTTTGGTTTATCTGCCAAATCGTTAAGCCCCCAAGTCGGAAGTATAAGCCATGATCACGAAAGATTGTAGAGTGAAATGACGAATATGCGATCCTTGAACCCCATTTTCATTGCCCACTGCAACATGCTCTCGGAAGGTTTTGGCCTGTAGCGACTTACCAAGGATCTTAGAAGTTGTGTGTCCGAGAGCCATGCATGAATGGCATTATGGAGGAAACGGGATTGCCTTTCCAGAATTTCGCTAACGTTGTCTTCTTTCTCAAGCTTGGCTTAATGGGCCCCGCAAACATCCCCTGCGTCGGTCAACTGAAGGACCGCAGTACTAGGAGCAGGCCCTAATGGAGACATGTTAGGTATCGGAAAGCCAACCCCCTCTTTCAAGGTCCAGGAGACGTTCCGAAATAGCGAGGCGGTATGGATTAACGATGCCAAGATTGAATCGGCATATGTCAAATTATTTCCAGCATAGCTAACCTGAGTTAGTAGGTAGCTTGGCATGCTTGCTTATCGTATGTTTAGCAGCTCCATGAATGTTGGAGTGCTTGTTCAAGCCACATCAGGACCTCAATCGGTTTCGAATCTCCAGAATGTCTTGACCTCGTATTGGGAGTCCTTAAAGCGGATACCGAGGTTGAGAAGACTTGCCAATTCTCCCACGGGATGTAGGTCATTTCCAACTCCATGAGCAGGTTTTCCGATTTCGATTGAACTTGGCGTAAACGAAAGGGTTGACTTGGGCGTGGAATTGAAGTCGCACACCATCCACCTGATGTCAGTGTACCTGCCTGACGACCAACGCGTGATGCGCAGGAAGACTGTCCTGTTGAGTATCGTCTTCAAGAGCACGATTGTCATCTTCAAGCGCTCAACCTCAGACACTCTCTAGGTAGGCTGAAGGAGGTCCTTAAGGCGGGCGTCGGCCAGCCTATCCTTCATATACTCGGAGAACTCAATCGAAAGATCTTTAGATATTTCTTCTGCAAGATCTAAGAATTGGAAGACGTTTTTGCCTAGTAGATTAGAGGCTTGTTCTTGGATGAGCTAGCTGGAGATTGTGTAAATATCGGAGGATTCTTAGTCCAGAAATTTTCGCCCTCGAGTTTCGTCGTTAGGTATATCCGCGGCACCGCAAAGTGCGGCTGCTCTATTCAAGAACCGAATGTATTGGCAGGTTGGTAGAAAAGTCTCATAATTTGACCCCTCGATTATTTCCTTGCAAGTTATCTGGTAGCACCGGGCGGTCGCAAAGGGGTACTGTGCCATGCCAGAGGACAGTTTAGTTGACCGTTTGGCCTCTATGGCAATAAGATGTACCTATTATGATCTTTATATCATAAGGTAGATTCAGCGATCCCGTAAATCTCAAAAGTTTCAATGGCATCTTTGCCCTCTTGATATTCTCGAGGAACTAATGTCGAGCTCGACTTCTCTTGTCAAATAGGGTACTCGACTGTAAGATCCCAAGCCCAGCACCATCATCGTATAATGATGATCCCAGAAGCCCCCCGCCTGGGTGACCTAAGGCGCTGTCGATGATTATCAACCCCATCTGCTGTATCGATTGAACTCGGATGCTGAATTCCAATATTTCTGCCCCGAGGGGAACCGCCAATCTCAAGTTGAGGATCTCCAGCTTGCTGGGGTCACATAAAACTCGGCAGTCATGACTCTCGTGCTATCCTGCACGGAGTATGTCGATGATGATGGCGAAGTTGAAGTTGAAGAGGGAATCCACATATTAATGCAAAATTGGAGAAAAGCGTATCTTGAATCTGGGCTCGGTTGTTCGGTGTGTAGCAGTTGCTGAACGGTGGAGGATCGACAGGGTACCATCGTCACCGTCATCATCTGTGTCCACTTTGATGGCGGCGTGGAATTGAAAAATCTGGCTTTGCCTTGTGGTTTAGGAAGTCGATATAACACAGAGCCAATTCAAATCCTCTCAATTGAAGCAACTAAATAGCCGGGTTTATTTAACGACCGCAACAGGCGATTGGCATGCTCTTCAAGTATCCGACAGGGCCTGCCTTTGGACCAATTTGACTTTCGTATCAAAAGCCTATATAATTATAATAAGCGGCTTAATGAGATACTTATCTTTGGTTTTAGCAATCGGATTGAGATATAAGCTCTACCGAATTAGGCCACCCAAAGGACCCAAAGAATCATATATGAGCATGACTTATTCCTCGTCGATGTTCGCAAACGATAATTGCGCATGGTGCTCCAGAATGCCATTGTTAATTTGCTTGACATACTCACGCCCCATCATCATTTCCTAGTCATAGCTTTGCCATTTCAAGAAGCTCGGGTAGCTCAATTGCTCTTAGTGTGTTGGAGAACCTGAGCATCTTTTCGAGTCCACGAATTATGGATCCAACAGTTTCTTCACCACAGGGTAATCTGCGATCGAGAGTTCTACCTTGCCTTGTGAAAATCACAGGGGTAGAAGGATTACCTTGATCGTAAGGCGTGTAATTTGTGTGGAGCCTATTATCTTCCGTGGAGTAAGTGACCCGGTATAAAGACTCGTCCGACTAAGAATAGAAGATAGAACTTCGCCCTCCGAGTTAGATAGCCACCATCCGGCATCCCGTCTGAGTCCTTACAGAGACCCGGACACACCAGACTCTATTACGAGATGCGGCCAATCGTTCTTTCGACCACGGAGAATCGCGTTTTTAAAGGCCGAATCGGCCTCCATAAGTTGTGGATCCCATATCGGTAACCATTGGACACTTAATAGGTGATCTTTCGGCTGGTCAAACTTAACTGTATGCGTTCGAGCGGTGTCAGACCTGGAAGAATGGTGTTCGGAAATATCCAGGTCCAGAAATGACACGGTAGAGCTTCGTAGCCTTAGTTTCTTTCACTAGGATATGAATCAATGTGTCTCTATACCGGAGTGTCCTACTATAGATCGAGTTAGTTCATGTATTGTGATGAAGACCTGATAATGGTCATAGGCTCGCCATATGCGTGGTAGAAGTAGAAGAAGCATTGCTAACCTCAGGATCGACGATCTTTGCTCTTCAATAGCACGCGTATCCCGCATCTGTTCAATGGTTAACTCGCCTGCCACAAATGCTGTGGCACGCTGTTAGACCAGCAAACAGGGGCTATCAATACGCAGGTTGAAGCTGTACTGGCTTCTTCCTCCGACGCGACCTCGGGATTGACGTCCTGGGTGGTGAAAGCAAAGCGTCAGCAAACTGGCTGTTGAAGGACAAAATCGTGAACCTACTGGCTGCGCCTTATGGGTAGGGCGGACTTCTGTGACTGACTTCACCTCTACGCGAACGACCTCGGCGAACAACATGCCTGTCAAGGATTCGCTCGACTTCAATATCGTCGTCTTGGACTGCCTCCGGTTTGCTGCGTTCCCTGCCGAACTCTTTGTCGCCATGGTACGGTTCTGATTGCGCGATAGAGACGACAGGGTAGATCCGCCAATGGCTAGGAAGCTTCAAGCGGCATGTCATACCGTTCTTAATCACCTTTTCAATCTCGAAAGGTCCGGCATACCGGGAAGCAAATTTGCCATGGTGCCGGGCAGAAGGGAGAGGATATCCATGATGTAGCTAGCCGTTAAGATCCGTACAGGTCAACATGTTGAACTAGAACTTGTTGTTAAACCTGACCGCAGCGGATCATCCAAGGATAAAGTATATCGTTCTGGTTCGAGTACAGGATACTTTCACCGCTGATAACGGAAGAATCGCACTGGTCTTGTTTCTCAAGGTGTGGATTTTTGGTGTTAGCTCGGCAGCAGCCTTCGCCATATCCGGAGAAAGACGAAGCTCCAAGAATGGAGAGCGTGGGAATACGCTCTCAAGGGACCACAATATCGCTTCATGATAGCGTTCTCTGTGGAAATCTTTGCTCACGCTGCATGGATCAGCACATCACCAAAGACTACCTTGGTTATGAGCACCCTGATGTCGGGGTAGTAAGTTACGTAATCCCACGGTGCTAGTTAGTTAGTTACCCAGTCTGCTTCTATTCGTCTCGATGTATTTGAATTTTTCTGGCGAAACATATTTGGTGTCCAGCCTATAAAACCTTTGTAAGTTGCTGTTGAAGGCCGAAAATGAAGGACCCACTCACCTGAAGCCATAATCGACTGTCTCATAACAAGAAGCAGCTCTCACGATGTTTTAACGCAACTTTTTTGCAAAGAGCAGGTGATATTGAACATCCTCGCGAGCGTTCTGATCAACAGAGTATGGTCCTTGAATCTCCATGGGATCTCGGCAGCGAGCTCCAGAAACAAGACACCGTACCCAATTAGTGTCTATTTGACATTGACAGGATGTACTTACATGGGCAATTTCTTGCAGTGTCGCTCATACCATGGCTCCTCTGGCTGCAAAATCCCGGGTGCAAGGATAGGAGAGGAAATAACTCGACCATTTCAGGCGTGAGTATGAATAAACGCTGTACGAAGTTTCTGCCTCGGCAATATGTTATTACAAAGGGGGCGAATTTTCAAGCCAATGGATCAAGAATATATGTAGGGGCCCCTCTGAGGCTATAGGGATCATAGATTGGGCTCTCAAGAAATTGCCTACAACTGTGTAAGTATGATGGAGGAGAGAGAAAGAATAGTGGAAAGAAAGGGGGTGGGAGAGCCTTTCATAGATGGTCAGTCAATATACGTGGTTAATGGCTTCCAAGCATTCCCTTTGGAATCATTCACAGTCGATAGGATGATGAATGAGTAGCCAAGCAGACCGTGAAGCAATTATATTGGCTGTGAATTATGTTTGATATTATATGCTGCTTGGTCAGTGACTTTTATGGCCGGCCCAAAACTACATTCAACAAAGAGATAGAAGTCTGTACAAATCTTCTGTACGGTGAAAATGAAGACTAGATTCCGAATATTATCACGGTTGACTGCCCTTCACTGGCGGACTAAAGTGGACAAACTATTTGCAATTAATAATCCAAAAGTAGATGAATCTTTAAACGTCGTTTAATTTTGATGAAATTACTCGTCATAATACACCCCCGGAATTTTTTCTATGAGTTTTTTTCTGTGCCACTTGTCCCGTCGGAGCTTACCGCGACAAAGCAATGTCATCAATTCTCATAATCATCTTAACCGTCTCGGCTGCCAGCTCAATGGCGCTGGTGCTCACTAGGAGAGGCTGCAGAATGTTCTCCTCGGTGATATCGTCCTTCACGCCACCGCTGCGGATGCTGACCCCGGCGTTGTGCTGGCCCTGGGCATGGCGGTGACGCAGGTCGGTGACGACCTTGATCGAGTTGAGACCGGCATTCTCGGCGAGGGTGGTGGGGATGACTTCCATCGCGTCGGCAAAGGCCTTCCAGCAGATGGCTTCCGTGCCAGTAAGCTCACGAGCCCGCATGGCGAGAGCGTGGGCCACCTGAACTTCCGGAGCTCCACCACCAGCAATGAGGGCACGCTTCTTGACCAAGCAGCGAATGACACACAGAGCGTCGTGCAAGGAACGCTCCGCCTCGTCGAGAATGAGGTTGTTGGCACCGCGGGCGACGATCGACACGGTCTGGTTGGCAGAGGCAGCCGGCGCCTTGATGCCAGTGACCTTCACGTAGCGAGCGCCGGAGGACTGGACCTCCTCAACCAGGTCGGCAGTACCCAGCTTGTCTTCGGTAAAGGAGTCGATGTTGGCAATGGGCTTGCAGCCAAGACTCTTGCACAGGAACTCGACCTCGTCGCGCTCGATGTCCTTGACCGCAAGGATTTTCAGGCGAGAAAGGAAGTGAAGCGACAGTTCATTAACGGCGTCACGGAGGATCGACTTCTGGATAAGGAGGACATTGCACTTCGTCTTCTGGATCTTCTTGACCATGTTGAGCAGGTATTGGCGCTCTTCCTTGAGGATCTTGTCCATTTGACGGTAGTCGTTCACCACGATCTGGTTCTCCATCTATGTAGCCACTCACGCGTCAGTATTGTACGTATAACTGAAAAAGGGGACCGAGGGACATACGTCGGGCTTGGGAGGGCTCAGTTGGAACTGAATCAATCCTATCCGGGCCTTCTCGGTTCTTGTGGGACCACCGCTGCTCTTGATGACGGGCTGGTTTAACACTAGACCGTCCACCATCTCGCTATCCTCGATCGTGCCTCCAACCTTCTTGATTATACGGATGTTTCTAAGGTCCACGTTTTCCGCAGTCTTAGGGTCGACAATCTTCAGTACCGAGTCGACGGCCATCGGGCCGAGAAGACCGGAGTGCTGGGCCACAATCTTCGAGGAGAGCGAGGTAGAGGCGGCTTGGAGGAGAGTCGAACGGTCAGCGAGGTTGATCGGTCGGGACATGTTTTGAAGGATCTCGACGGCAGCGCCCGCAGCTCGTTGGAAGGACTCCGAGATGACGGTGGGGTGAATGCCCTTGGACAGCAAACGCTCCGCAGCGCCCAACAGGCTTCCGGCGATGACAACAACCGATGTAGTTCCATCTCCAGCCTCGACATCCTGGGCGGCACTCAGGTCGACCAGCATCCTAGCGGCGGGGTGCATGACGCTCATATCCTTCAGCATAGTGTTTCCATCGTTGGTCTGCGGGGGTGGTTAGCGGCGGGGTGTATATAAGATGTATGAGGGAGTCGGCTTCGTACGATGATGGTGTTGCCCTTGGGAGTTTGGATCTATTTTCTCGTTAGTAGTAGATTCAAAGGTAGACTGGCAATTGTTCCTACCATCTTGTCCATTCCCCTGGGTCCCAGAGACTGTTCAATATGTTAGCCCCTCATCTGTGACAAGATTGTTAGACCAGCGTACAGTTCTGATGGCATCGGCGACGGCTATCGTTCAAGTTAGTAAGTAAGTCTTTTCCATGACACAGCTACAAATCAAAGTAATGCACTTACCTCTCGCAGCGAGAATGTTGGACGTTCGCACGGCCATGGGCTTCTCCTTGTCCTGTCCGGTTATCAGAAAACGGCCCACAGATAGGATTCCTCCCACACAAGAAGACGCACCTTGAAGGAGTTGTTCCCAGGGGCGGCCTGGGGAGCTGCTGTCGCCATTTTGAAATTGAATATGGTACAAAGACCGGAGAGGAATTGGGGGGAAGGAGTAAAAGAGGGTTGGAGAGACAAGAAGCAGGCCAGACCGTGAAGGCGGCTTTGGAATTTCTGCGAAGTTACGGTTAGCCTTGGCGGCCACTAGCGTCAACAGCTCGAACCGACCGACGCAACCACCTCAGCAAGCAACCCGAAGAGCTACCACCTCTCTTGCCTCTCATCCCAAGCTCCATCTCATCCTTACTCAACGACTCTGGTGCTATTCACGACCGTTGAATCTCGCCCATCACTTTGATCCCTAACTTTTCTGTGCATTTCCTTCCTATCCCTACCCTCGCCTCCGTGACCTCACAGCCCTCTTCTCACCATGCCTAGCGCCACGGGAGAGAACTGGGAGAAGTACAAGAAGAACTTCGCCGATGAAGAAGAGCCAGAGAAGAAGATCACTCCTCTCACAGACGAGTATGTCTCCCCTTGGATCTGTTGTTCGGATGGTGGATGAAAGTGATGGCTGACCGGACTCCCAGTGATATCGCAGTACTGAAGACGTACGGCGCCGCTCCCTACGCGAATGCCTTGAAGAAGTTGGAGAAGCAGATCAAAGACAAGCAGAACAGCGTAAATGAGAAGATTGGCGTTAAGGTATACTGGCTCCTTTCCCTATCCCTCTCCGGATGGAGCTGACCATCTTAGGAATCCGACACTGGTCTTGCACCTCCACACCTTTGGGATGTTGCCGCCGACCGACAACGCATGGCAGAGGAGCAACCGCTACAGGTCGCTCGCTGCACGAAGATCATTCAAGATGAGAAGGATACGGACAAGAGTAAATACGTCATCAACGTCAAGCAGATCGCCAAGTTTGTGGTCAATCTAGGGGAACGTGTGAGTCCTACGGATATCGAGGAAGGCATGCGAGTTGGGTATGTTTGGATTTCCAGAAATCTCTGGGCTCGGTTTACTGATTCTTCTACTAGTGTCGACCGGAATAAGTACCAGATTATGCTTCCCCTCCCGCCCAAGATCGACCCCAGCGTGACGATGATGACGGTCGAAGACAAACCCGACGTGACGTACGGCGACGTTGGTGGATGCAAAGAACAGATCGAGAAGCTGCGAGAAGTCGTGGAGATGCCCTTGCTATCGCCAGAGCGCTTCGTTAACCTTGGTATCGACCCGCCCAAGGGTGCTCTGCTATACGGCCCTCCCGGAACCGGTAAGACGCTCTGTGCACGAGCCGTCGCCAACCGAACAGACGCCACCTTCATCCGTGTCATTGGTAGTGAACTGGTCCAGAAATACGTGGGTGAGGGTGCCCGGATGGTTCGAGAGCTGTTCGAGATGGCGCGTACCAAGAAGGCCTGCATTATCTTCTTCGACGAAATCGACGCGGTCGGTGGTGCTCGTTTCGACGACGGCGCGGGCGGTGACAACGAAGTGCAACGTACTATGCTGGAACTGATCACTCAACTGGACGGATTCGATGCTCGCGGTAACATTAAGGTCATGTTCGCAACCAACCGACCGTCGACTCTGGATCCTGCGCTCATGCGTCCCGGACGTATTGACCGTAAGATCGAATTCTCTCTCCCAGACGTCGAGGGCCGAGCCAACATTCTCCGGATCCACGCCAAGAGCATGTCGGTGGAGCGCGACATTCGATGGGAGCTGATTTCTCGACTGTGCCCCAACGCCACGGGTGCGGAGCTCCGCAGCGTTGCGACGGAGGCCGGTATGTTCGCCATTCGGGCGCGCCGGAAGGTCGCCACGGAGAAGGACTTCCTGGCTGCCGTGGACAAGGTGATCAAGGGCAACCTGAAGTTCAATTCGACGGCATCCTACATGCAGTATAATTAGATGACGCCCCCTTCCTTTCCCATCTGCAAGTTGGATTTACATAGCATGGCTGGACGGATGTGTATGATCAATTTATCTCGTAATTCAGTCTACTATGAAATTATCACGTGCTCTGTTCAAACCTCCTGTCTCGTAGTTATCTGCCCGTACGTACTCCGTAGAGGCGTAAGTATCACATGACGGTCTTCGGCATCGGGATTACCTCAGCACACCGCGTCCGGGTAAGAGATGATACCTTACCGTGCCGTCATGACGAGAGTGTCTGGCTGGAGTCCGGGTCTCTGACGGGTGGACTTTCAGCAGACAGCACGGGAGCTCCTCCGTGTATCACCATCCCCCGATCCCATCTAGCAGCCCGACTAAGAGATGAACGAGGAATGACGCCGGGAAGTCCGCTGGGCACACGTCCGGAATGCCTCGCAGCGCGCGGGTTAAAAGGAAGGCCGGCCACGTGCCCTGGGCTGGAGCCGGCCAATCAGCAGGCGGCCACCGCCCGAGGTGATTACCACTGCGCGCACGCTGATTGGCGCACTCGGCCCCGGTCCTCCCCGTCGGCAACTGGGCGGGTGATTATGTCAGCGAGTCTTTCGGCCAGCAGAACCGGCGATCCAAAAGTGCAGCTCGCGAGGTCTTGCATTCTCCTCTCTGCTGCCGTCTCTGCATTTTCAGTGCTCTCAATCCCCCTCCTCTCCCCTCTCCCCTCTCCCTTGGACTCATTAGGAAAGTGTTCCTTTTCTTTTGATCCGTCATCATGAGCTCCATGAGCTTGCGGAGCCTAGCTCCCGCCTCCAAGGTCAGTAACCGACCAGACCGGTTCAACCCACGACCCTGATCGCATCAATTGCCCCCCGGGTTCTTCGGTTTCACCTGAAGCTGACACGCCGTTTTGCGCAGATTTCCCGTGCTTTGAGGGACCAGAGACGTTTGTTCTCCTCTTCGCGGCCCGCTGGTATGCATTGGACACTGTCCCTTGAATCCCCTCGTCGCCAATTCAACTAACTCGTCCTTCCGCAAGCCCGGATCTTCGCCAACAACCCTTTGCGCGCCAAGGAGAACACTGGCTATATCTCTGAGAAATACCCCGTCATTGTAAGCCGACACTCTGATGTGACGTGTCCTCCCAACATTGAACCTAATTGTATGGCTAGGACCACGAGTATGATGCCGTCGTCGTCGGTGCTGGTGGTGCCGGTCTGCGTGCCGCTTTCGGTTTGGCCGAGGCTGGCTTCAACACGGCCTGTGTCTCGAAGCTTTTCCCCACGAGAAGTCACACTGTCGCCGCTCAGGGTGGTATCAACGCTGCTCTTGGAAAGTAGGTTTGCCTTTGTTTGCCTTTGGGGCAATTTTCGTATCTTCCATCTTCTTTTCCTGTGTGATTTGAAAATGGGAGAGGAAAGGAGAAGAAGTTTTTGCTAATCGTTTTTCCGTGGTATATAGCATGCACAAGGATGACTGGAGATGGCACATGTACGACACCGTGAAGGGTTCCGACTGGCTGGGTGACCAGGATGCCATCCACTACATGACCCGTGAAGCCCCCGCTAGTGTTCGTGAGCTCGAGGGCTACGGATGCCCCTTCTCCCGTACCGAGGAGGGTCTTATCTACCAGCGTGCGTTCGGTGGTCAGTCGCGGGAATTCGGAAAGGGTGGTCAGGCCTACCGTTGCTGCGCCGTCGCTGATCGTACCGGTCACGCCCTGCTTCACACCCTCTACGGACAGTCTCTGAGCCACAACACCAACTACTTCATCGAGTACTTCGCCCTGGACCTGCTGATGGAGGACGGCGAGTGCCGCGGTATCATTGCTTACAACCAGGAGGACGGCACCCTGCACCGTTTCAAGGCCCACCACACCGTCCTGGCCACCGGTGGTTACGGACGTGCCTACTTCTCCTGCACTTCGGCCCACACCTGTACCGGTGACGGTATGGCCATGGTCGCCCGTGCCGGTCTTCCCAACCAGGATCTCGAGTTCGTTCAGTTCCACCCCACTGGTATCTACGGTGCCGGTTGTCTGATCACCGAGGGTGCCCGTGGTGAGGGTGGTTACCTGCTCAACTCCGAGGGTGAGCGTTTCATGGAGCGTTACGCGCCCACCGCCAAGGATCTGGCTTCCCGTGACGTCGTCTCTCGATCCATGACCCTGGAAATCCGTGAGGGCCGTGGTGTCGGCCCTGAGAAGGACCACATCTACCTGCAACTGAGCCACTTGCCTCCCGATCTTCTGCACGAGCGTCTGCCCGGTATCTCCGAGACCGCCTCCATTTTCTCCGGTGTCGACGTTACCAAGCAGCCCATCCCCGTCCTGCCCACCGTTCACTACAACATGGGTGGTATCCCCACCAAATTCACCGGTGAGGTCTTGACCGTTGACGAGCAGGGGAAGGACAAGGTTGTCCCCGGTCTGTATGCCTGCGGTGAGGCCGCCTGTGTCTCCGTCCACGGTGCCAACCGTCTGGGTGCCAACTCGCTTCTGGATCTGGTCGTCTTCGGTCGTGCCGTTTCCCACCGTGTCCGTGACATCGCCACCCCCGGTGCTCCTCACCGCGAGCTGAGCTCCGATGCCGGTGCCGAGTCGATCAAGGACCTCGACTTCGTCCGTAACGCCGACGGTCCCAAGTCGACCTTCGACATCCGTAACGCCATGCAGAAGGCCATGCAGACGGATGTCAGTGTCTTCCGTACCCAGGAGAGTTTGGATGAGGGTGTCGAGAAGGTCACCGAGATCGACACCTGGTTCGACCAGGTCGGCACCAAGGACCGTAGCATGATCTGGAACTCCGACCTCGTCGAGACCCTTGAGCTCAAGAACTTGTTGACCTGCGCGTACGTATTCCTCATCCCCACATGACAAAAATTGCAAGGAGCTTTTTGGCTGACATGATACAATTTAGTACCCAAACTGCTGTCGCTGCCGCCAACCGCAAGGAGTCTCGTGGTGCCCACGCCCGCGAGGATTTCCCCGACCGTGATGACGAGAACTGGATGAAGCACACCCTTACGTGGCAGAAGAAGCCCCACGGCAAGATCGACCTGGACTACCGCGCCGTTGAGGCCAACACCCTCGACGCGGACGAGTGCAAGCCCGTGCCCCCCTTCAAGCGTGTCTACTAAGATGCAACCATGCTGGCCGGTCGCACAATGAAAGTTAAGGGTCGACATCGGTTTGAATCTGTCAAGTCGAAGTGGTGGAAGTGTTTTGACTGGGCGGAAAAAGAAGCGTCATGAAAACTAGGCTGTGTTTTATTTCCTGTGTTCATATGTGTATATCCATCCTTTTGTTTCTTTTTCCTTTTTTCTTTCCGGGCGATGAGTTTGGTGTACTCACGTTATATTGTCTTTTATAGCCCTTTATTACCTCATACAATTGGAGTTCTTTTTTCTTTTGCTTCTTCCTCTACATAGCCCGTTGTCTTGCGTTTCAAGTGTTCTTTCCGCCCTTTGTCGTTCTTCCTGATCGAGCCGTCCCTGCAGAACTCTTTGTTGGTTTACAAAGACAATGATCGACCAAATGCTTTACTAACATGGCATTGCAGCTGGTTCCTCATGATAATTGTGTCTAGCCGACCGTCTGACTCGATCGAAGAAGTAGCAGACTCGAGCTATCAAATCTGGATATCGACTACCAGCGATAGCCTCCAATCTACGACGCAGCATTTCTCCAATGAATCAATCAATATGAAACAATAGCAAAGTCCCAGGCTAGAATCTGTTTGCCATTGTCAATCCAAGTACTGGCAACGAGCCTTCTTGCCAAGTATTTGCGTTCCACGAGGGACAAAGAAGTATCATCTTGCCACCCTTTATAGGAACAGATATATCCCAGGACTACGCAATTGCTAACCCTCGCTCCACCCCGCGCTAAGAGCGCTTTGTGACTACCGGTAAGCAGCTGCAACTCATTCTCAGCCCTCGTTGTCCTCCTTCCTGCTTTTGCTCTGGTTTTTCCTCAGGGACGGAACTGTCATCCACTCGTTCCCTCGTGGACACCTGATTTTATGTCTCGCTCCAGTCTCACTTGCTCCGACTCACCAGACCGAGAATGTCTTGCTCGGGAGGTAAGGCCTGGTATGTCTGCTCCAAGGGTCCGTTCCAGGGGTGTTGTTCGACCGATCCATGTAACACGGGAATTTGCCCGGATGACATCAACAACAGCACCGACAAATCCAAGCCCACACCAGCTATCTCAGCGCCTCCCTCCCCAGCGGCTCCCTCAGGTCTATCGACTGCTTTTACCACCTCGATCACATCAACGACAGCAACATCTCATTCGGCCTCGACTACGACTGAGACTGCGACTGCGGTTACAGAATCGATCTCGATCTCGACCTCGACTTCAATTTTGGCATCGACCCCATTGTCCCCGAATAGCCTATCGGCCAAGGACTCTCCGTCGACAACCCAGACACGCACAGAGCTGCCTACAGTCCTATCCAATAGCAGCCATACCGGCAGCAGTGGAGACAAACCCAACGCAGGACTAATCGCTGGCATTGTGGCAGGCATAGCAGCAATGTTGGTTCTTCTAGGCCTATCGTTGTGCCTGATCCGCCGTTCACGCAAGAAGCGTCGCAGAAGGTTCACTCTTCTTCGCTGGCGTGGACCTATGCACGAATGCAACGAGAATGCCCCATCACCTACACACAGTGTCTTGCGCAATCTTTTGACATCAACAAATGGTCCTTCCTATAGTATGTCACAAGCACCCTTCCCTACAGATACTAAACGATCTCATGGCTGATCTCGTTGAAGATTCTTACAGTTCCCCATCTCAACCCCGGGCAGCTGCATCTCGTAATAGTCCTATAGTAGGACCAGCAACGGAGTCTCTGGTCTCGCTGGCCTCCCGCACAAACAGCCATTCGATCACCAGTAACCCTGGCATCATACTGACCCATCCATCCTCGACAACCCTCTCAACCCCTTCAAGCACACTCCTCGCCACCTCTGCCGCAGCCGCATTAACGACATCCCCCAAAACAAGCACCAGAAGCACCAGCACACGAACAACCCATTCCAAACACCAACTAGAACCTATCCCAGAACTCTCTGACACGGGATTCTATCGCCAACGCGCCGAGTTAGCAGCCCATTCCGCCCGCGAACTGATCAATGTACCTCTCAGCCAGCGCCCGCGTCCTCACCACTACTGTCCGTCACCGCGCCAATCCCAGTTCTCATCGACTTTGTGTCCCAACCTCCGTCCCCCGCCCGCCATACCAATCATCACTGCCGACGGCATTGTTTTGACGTCCAACCTAGACCAGCCGGTCAAGGATTCCAGCCCCAGAAGCGCTCCCGGGTCTGACGAGGACCATGTCATGAGCTTCATGCGGTACGATGCCGCCAAAGACGCGATGTTACCGGCCTATCGGGCCAACTGGAGGAGGTCATCGACAGGGAGTGCTAATGCCACTGGCAATGAGAATGTCAGCGCTTGGGAGGAGAAGGAGAGGAGGGGGCTCAAGAATTGATCGAGGGGATATAAATATAGGGCATTTAGATGAAAGATGTCATCTAAGGATAGCCGATGGACAGTGGGTTGTTTTCGCTTCCTCTTCTTCCTTTTCTTTTCTTGGCCTATCTTTTATTATGTTTTTTATAATAGTGCGGTTTGCACGGGTTGGATACTAGAATCGGTTTAATTATGTCGGTATCTTATATCCTCGCGTGTAGCATCCTGAATCTCGATCGGTTGTAGTTCTAGCTTTTTCCAGTATTACTCGTTATTTCAATTTCCTCTTGGAAAAAATTGACTATCAAGAATCCCATAGGTCAAAGATAAATGCCATTCTCTATCCCGTATATTAAACCGAAATATCTCGTAAATTCAGATCCGTTCGTTCTCTTTTTTTGTATCTATTACAAAATCCCGAAACTTTTCCAAGAAGAAACACCCACACCGTCCTCTAGAAGAAATGAAAAATCTATAGCAAACTCCTCAGAACGGAAGTCTGCTCGAGCACGGCGCGCTTGCTCGTTCCACCAACGGCATCCTTCAGCTCGACAGCGCGCTCGTAGTCCAGACAAGCGCGGACGTCGTCATCGAACCGCGCATCGACGGTCTGCAGCTGCTCCAGCGAGAGCGTGTCCATGGGCACGTTCTGCTGCTCGGCGAGCTGGACGACGCGGCCGGAGATGTGGTGGCCCTCGCGGAACGGCACGCCCTTGCGGACCAGGTAGTCGGCGATCTCGGTGGCCAGCATCTCGGGCGCCAGGGCGGCGATCATCTTCTCGGGGATGACGGTAATGGTAGAGAGCACGCCGGTGGCGATCTGGATGCTGTCGCTGACGGTCTTGACGTGGTCGAGGAGGGGCTCGATGCTCTCCTGCAGATCCTTGTTGTAGGTGGTGGGCAGGCCCTTGATGGTCATCATGAGGCCGGCCATGTGGCCGAATGCTCGGCCGGATTTGCCACGCAGAAGCTCCAGGCTGTCTGTTCCGGAGTCAGATATTGTCTGTGGGAGATAAGGGCGTTTAGACTATCAAACTCACCTGCGTTCTTCTTCTGGGGCATCAGCGAGGACCCCGTGGAGTAGGCGTCCGACAAGCGGACGTAGCCGAACTCCAAGCTGCTGTAGATGATCAGATCCTCGGCCCAGCGAGAGATCTTGAGCATGAACGAGCTACCCCACTGCATGGTCTCCATGGCGAAGTCACGGTCCGCCACGGCGTTCATTGAGTTGTACAGCAGACCTTCGAAGCCAAGTTCCTTGGCCATCTGCTCGCGGTCGATCTGGAAGGGATTTCCGGCCAACGCTCCAGTACCCAGGGGGCTGCGGTTGACGCGGCGGGTCACCTCACGGAGACGCTGCAGCTCGCTGGCAAAGGCCGTGGCGTGCGACAAGAGCCAGTGGCTCCAGCGGACGGGCTGAGCCTTCTGCAGATGCGTGTAACCGGGCATAAGGTATTCGATGTCGTTCTCGGCGCGGGCAATGCACACCTTGATCAGGTCGCACAGGAAGTTGTCCAGCTTGCGGAGCTCATCCCGCAGCCACAGCCGCATATCCGTTGCGACCTGCTCGTTCCGGGACCGACCGGTGTGCAACTTGCCGCCGATCTCCTTGCCGATGATCTCGGACAGGCGGCGCTCGTTGGCCGTGTGGATGTCCTCGTCGTTCGCCTTGACGACGAAGGAGTCGGTGCTCCATTCCTCGGCGATCTGCTTGAAGCCGCGCTCGATCTCGGAGAACTCGTGGGGGGTGAGGATGCCAGACTTGGTGTTGGCCCGGGCAAAGGCAATGGAGCCGGCAATGTCCTGCTTCCACAGGATGCGGTCGTAGGGGAGAGACTCGTTATATTGGACCATAAGGGGGTCGAGACCCTCTTGAGTCGTTCACGTTAGTATTTCTCGGTGCGGTGAAGACCGTGGGAATGAGCAATTGTAGGACTTACGGGTGAATCGACCACCCCAGAGCATGTTCTCAGCAACCTTGGGAGCGCTCATTTTGTGCAGTCTGTCAAATGGGACAATAAAGGGACTAGCAAGGGAAGAAAGGGATAGGAAGACACAGAAACCGACAGCGACGAAGATCAATGAGGCACTAGTGCCGATGACTCATCCGACTTTGGTGCGGGGATGCGACATCGGGGCGCTAGTCCGCTTTGGGACGCACCTGATCGGTCTGCTTGAAGTCACCAAAGCAGTTACCTTCCTATCTTCACATCGATGCGCCATAGCTGACACGTCCAGGGCTGGCCTCTTTGTATTCGATGACACGGCCTTCCCCCTTTTCTTCAGACACTTAAGGCAACGAACCCCCCCCAACCTCGGGTGCGGTCTTTTCGTCCAGCCACTCGGAGTAGTTATGGACTGCTCTAAGGGAGGGAAGTGCGAGGGATTTATCAGAACGTATAAGCCCATCAACGTGGGCTCATTCCCTTTTTTTCAATGGCACCCCATCGCATCTAACCTAGGCAACCCGCCAACGTCATCACCGTTGCGTTTCCCCTAGAACAAGGGATGCCCGGGGCACGCATCGGCCTGCCCAAAATTGAAGACCCCGGTCCAGATCATCCATGGATGGCCTGGTATCACCTTGCTTTGAGTTACCTTCAGCCTAGGGCTGCATAAGGGCGATCATAAAAAAGCTTGGTGGTTTTGACTCCAAGGGGGTCCGCTCGACCGAATCAGGCTGCGAGGATAAATTTTGGGTCTGCGAACCAGACAACGAAAGTCCAAATTGTTTGATACTATACCGCATAGACATACCCAGGCCTCACCGTTCCAGCTAGCAGGTTGCTTGGGGAAGATCATCAGAAGACATGCTCCGTAATGCAAGGGGAACGTCACCGCGCTAAATAGGTTCTTACGACTGAAACTACTTCGTACTCCGTGCTTTCTTGCAACCGGGTCCTCTCATTCCGATATGCAATATAGAGCTGGCTATTGATTATAGTACTCCACTGCCTATTTGAATCTTTCGAAATGGCCCAAATAGCAGAAGCAGGTTTTACCTATATGGAATGGATAGTCTGCAAACCCCGAGAACCGATCGACTCCAAAGTATCAATCCAGGCACGCTTCTAGTGGCCATGTACTCCGTACTCCGTACGCTGAACTTGTTTCTCCATATCTCCACGTTCTCCGTTCGACATAGCACTACGCGTCGTCATCCGGTGGTCCTTGCATCCAATACCATAGAAAATTTCTGACTTTACTAATTCGGGCGATGGAAAGAAGGATATTGAGAGGGATCCACCTTGTTCTTCGGAGAAATATCAATTTCTGATGTAGCCATCTTCCCATGCGCCTTTTTTTAAAGGGCCCAAGTCCTGAAAATTGTCTCTTTCGAAAAAGAGAATTTCTTTTGCACACTCTCGACCGTCCCGATGGTGCAGTGGAATTTGTATCAGGAGAAGCTTGGAAGCTTGGCTTCGGGACGGCCAATCTGTCTAGAATGGCGATCCTCTAAGGTCTTTATCCTGTTTATGGTGGCCTTTGCTATGTTTACGGTATGGTGTCCCCTTCTCTGACTCAAATTTGATGCATAATGGCTCATGCTTGGTAATAGGATATGCTTCTTTATGGATTGGTAGGTGATCGATTGCTCTGTATCCTCTGCCCTGATCTATATTGACTTTTCCGGAAGATTGTCCCTGTGATTCCAACCGTTCTCACTCAACGAGTAGGGTTAGCAGTAGATCAAGGTATGTTTCCTGCGTACTTTTAGTATATCAATATCTGATCACTTCTTTCAATTCTTAGAGCAGCAGTGGACGTCCATCCTCCTTGCCCTCTACGGGTCAATGTTATTGGTGTTCTGCCGTGAGTTGAAACACCAAATCGACTCCTGAGAGTCGTAGTACCTCTGCAACCACAGCACACTGACAACCCAATCAGCAATCTCCGGCTACGTAGCCGATCGCATCCAATCGAGACGATGGCCACTCCTCGTCGGCCTAGTGATCATGGGAGCCTCGACGGCCCTACTCTGTGTGGGCTCCAACCTGGCCCTCTGGATCACCGGCCGCCTCTTCCAGGGTGCCTCGGCTGCCGTTGTCTGGACCGTAGGGATGGCTTTGCTGGCGGACAATGTGGAAACGGACGAATTGGGTGGTGCCATGGGTCTCGCAAGCTCAGGAATGACGCTGGGAGTGATGGTTGGTCCTCTTCTGGGAGGTGTCCTGTATGAACACGCTGGCTACTATGCCGTCTTTGGTCTAGCATTTGGCTTCATCGGACTTGATATCTTTTTCCGTCTGGTTATGATCGAGAAGAAAGACGCCGCGAAATGGCTCAAGAATGACAGTGAGAGTGACAGCGAAACCGAAACCGCCAGGAACAGAGACAGTGAACCCCAGACTCCCCAATTCCTAGCAGACCCCATTGACAGTAGCGAACGCGGTCTCGCCACTACCCCTACCCAAGACACCGAGACCTCCTCCCCTGACAGACAGGACCACTCAACCGACACCTCGTCCACCTGCACCGCCAACACGCCCGACGAGGCCGCCGCCAGCATGCGCAGCAAATCCGAAAACGCACACAGCCGCGCCAGTACGCCCACGACATCTCCCAACCCACTCTCCCACAATCGTCTCCTCACGCTGCTCAAATCGCGTCGCCTCGCCGTCGCCCTCTTTGCGTACTTCATCCAAGCCACCTGCGTCATGTGCTTCGACAGCGTCCTCCCGCTCTTCGTCCGCGACACCTTCGGCTGGGGCCAGGCCGGCCAAGGCCTCATCTTCATCCCGCTCTCTCTCCCTCACATCGGCGACCCGCTAACAGGCTTCATCGTCGACCGCTGGCCCCGATGCCGCATCTACCTAGCGGCCGGGGCCTTCCTGGCCGCCGTACCCTTACTCGTCTGTCTACGCTTCGTCACCGAGAACACCCTCGGCGATAAAGCGCTACTATGTGCCCTGCTGGCCCTAATCGGCGTCGTAGGCGGGGTCCTGGAACCCCCGATAATGGTCGAAATCACGTATCTCATTGAAAAGAAGGAGAAGGAATTCCCGCACGTCTTTGGTAAGGGCGGGGGGTTGGCGCTGGGCTATGGGGTTATGAATGCGGCGTGGGCGGCGGGGAGTCTGATCGGGCCGATCTATGGAGGGTTTATAAGGGATCATGATGGTTGGAATACGATGTCTTGGGCGTTGGGATTGTTGATGGGTGCGCCGGGGATTTTGTTGTTGTTTTTGTTGAGAGAGTAGAGTTGGTGGACTTCCAGTCTTAAGGTACTGACTGGGTGTGAAAAGAGAATGGTATCAGGAAAGAACAATAGATCGTACTGTTTGATTCGAGACTATGCGGCCTCATTTTATGATTCTCATAGATAACGATCCGTACCGTGCTGGTTAATGACTTATAGCGACATTCGTCTTGTTGGCCTTTAGAATGAATTTAACTATCATTCCGTCGTCCTCACTAGGCATGGATATATCCCCATGAACTTAGTCTATATATACGTCTAAGTGAAGCATATCAGTCATTCTCTCAATAACTATGTACAACCACCTCTAAACAACTCAGCCATCTACATCTAAAACCTAAACCCCTCCCAAGCCTCTATCTGCAGTGTATACAACCCTCATAGCCCATATACTCACCAAATCTACCTACTCATCAAACTCTACAACCGTCCACGTAACCGTCCAACCAACCACACCCCCCAGCTTCTCCATCACCCTACAACTCGCTCGATTCCCCTGCGCCACGTCCGCATGCACCCAGCCCTTCTCGCCCTTTGCGCGGAACATCCCTCCCTCGCGCATCCCTCGTCGCATGACCTCCCGACTCGCACACTTGGCCAGTCCCTTGCCGCGATGATCCGGCTCGACGTGCAGAACGGCCAGCGACCCGTCCGCGCTGAGGAAGGCCCATGCGATGGGATCTTCTTCTTCTTTTCCTTCATCATTGTCCCCGTTAGCCCTCCTAGTATCTGCATCCACGTAGACCGCGACGCACGGAAACGAAGCCAAGCTCTTCGGGGTACGAAAGACGGCCGATCGGCGACAGACGAGCTCGTAGTGACGGGCCATGAGGGTCGAGTTTCCCTTGCGGTCGGAGAAGCGGTATCCGGGTGGCAGCAGTTGGGAGCAAATAGACTCATGGGTGACAGCGGGTGCGGATCCAGGAGCACGGGAACCACCATGCTGGGTCACGTCCCCGTTCTGGTCGGTGCTGTCACTCTCGTGGTCCCCGTCGTGGTCCCCATCAGCAATGACAAATTCCTCGTCCCGAAATAGGTACTTGTTGTAGGGGGGCTGGTCGAAACGGTGGACCCGGAGACCTGGGACGACCATCTGGGGCCCACGTGGATGGCTGGCATCGGGACTAGGACCAGCACCATGGTGGCATTGGCCAAGGGGAGGAGGGTATTTTCCCGAAGCGGTTAACACGGAGAATAGACCCGTGTGCAGATGGCCGATTTTGAAAGCTGGAGGACCGAAAGGCTGACCCGCTGGGTTGGGACGGCTGTCAGTCGCGCTCGCGTTGCAACTAGTAATTCCCATCGGGTTCGTGATGGCGTCACGAGCTGACTTGGGGGCCAGATTGTCGTCGAGATTAAGAGACTGGAGATATTCGGGCATCAAGCGGTTCTGAACATGGGATAGTAGAGCCAATAGTTGCGCACGCACCCAATCCAGAGGGTCGGGTGAGATTTCGCTGCTAGTAGTGCCATTGAGCCTGACATTATTGCTAGTGGCATCGAGAGTGGAGACGGTTTTCTCGATCGTTTCTTCTTCTTCCTTGTTGTCAGATGGAGCTTGAGCTTCCCTTTCGAGACTAGAATAAACAACCATCTGAGTCTCAGGACCGGCATGCAGATCCACCCAGGCGGCTAGCCAGGGCGTCGGAACGCCAGTGTTGGAATTGGTAGCACCAACATCTCCTAGCGGGGATCCCCTGGATAATAACGAGGCGGACACGGAGTTCGAGTCAGACACGGGTTTCAGGTCCCCGACGGCATCCCAGACGGTGGCAGTGGCCAAATACTTGGCGGTCGGGGAGGGATGGACTAGCGAGTGTTGGAGGCGCCGTAGCAACGGAAGCGAATAGGGGAGGTGAGATTTGAGGGCCGGAATTAGGACTTGCGGATCGACGTCTTGGATGGAGATGGGGAGATCCATCGTAGTATCCATCTGGTTGGTTCGTGGTCTCAGGTCTTAAGGTGAAACTACCATGGATCACGATCGATGTCAGCGCCAGTGCATCTATCAATCATCGAGGGATCGTGATTCGAGATCAGAATTAGTTACTAAGAATACTCATGAAAAGGGGCCAAAAGTGTCAATGGCAAATATGACAGCGGAGAGTTTACCCGTCGATGACAGATGAATTCAGCTTCATCGAGATACCAGGGCAACCCGACGAGCTACTTTTAAGCAGCATTCTCCTTGCCAATGGGTATGAGTCAGGCTGAAGCCAAGCGATGACGCGAAGCTTAGTTGCAGCCGACTAGACTCCGTAGGTTAGTTTAGCAGAGAAGGAATTTGTCATGCTGGATTCCAGGGGGGAGGTGTGGCGGTGCGCAGAGACTGGGACTATGAAGGGACTAAGGGGCGACTAACCGGACTAGTGTCGACTGATGACAGGAGGCCCGATTTATTTTTGTTTGGCGGCCACATGGAGTGGAGCCGGAATTAATTGAACTGATCTGCATGGAAGTCCTTTCGAAGCCGCTGGAATTGTGACACGTCCATTTTACCTCCGTCTTTCATTTCTTCATTTGCCTCTTCCGGCTTAATTAGACGAGCTGAAACCTCTTGGGCACCAATAATCGGTCCCCTACATATTAAATGAACTTCTTACAGTACTTCCTGGACTATATTTATCTCTTCTCCGTATACTCCGTTACCTACTACTCCCTGTAACAAACAATTGGGCACATGTTTGAGATTCCTTCAGATAAATCAACCCGGATCATAGACAAAATAGATGATTATATTCAAGGACTGTATCTGAAACAAAGGAAAAAATAATGGAGCCAAGAATAAGGAGCGACTAATGATCATCCCGGTCGTAAATCATCCCATCGTCAGCCTAACCAAGTAGACCGTAAACACCACCTCTCCAGTTCAGTTCACCAGGGACTCCGCGGTCCCACCATCCAATCCTCCATCGCCAACCACTCGCTCCATCGCGACTCCGCGACCCGGAGCTCCTCCTCCGTCGCCGCATGGAGCGGTCGTAGAAAGGGCGTCTGCTCGTCCGGCAGGATATCGTATGCCGCTTTAGTCGACGCCCAGCCGTCACTCTTCGCCGAGAACAAGTAGTTGACGCGCTCCTGCTTCCAGATGCAGCCGAGGCCCGCCTCCCAGTCCGCCCCGAAGAAAGCCTGTAACACAGGGGCTGTGTCGTTGCCGGTGACGATGAGACGCCGGAGATACGATCTCAGGCACACCTGCGACGCCGAGGGTGATTGGGCATCCACCGGGTCCAACCCCAGAGTCGGGGGCGGTTGCTGCTGCTGCTGCTGCTGCTCCTGCTGGGGGCCGGACATGCTAACAATAGGATCGCGCAGGCGCTGGCAGGGAAGTCGGATGTTGACAAACGCCGCCAGCGATTGTACGGCTAGCGAATGCTGTGCGTGATCCAGGAAGTGCTGTATGCATCCCAGATACTGCGGATACCAGTCGTTCAGGTCGACCTGCGCGTACTCCGGACTAGAGCGCGATGCCTCCGCGGGCGTCTCCATTTCCTGATCAGGGCTCACTGGGAATTCAGCACCAGAGCCAGCGGACATGTGGTAGTGGTGTCTACGGCGCTCAGTGTCCAATTCGGTAGGTTCTATTAAGGGTATTGGGTCTTAGAAAATGGGAGAGGAAAAGAAAAAAACAACGAAGAAAAAAAGAAGAAAAAAATAAAAGGAAAGAGAACAAAGGGGTTGGACTTACTTGCGGGATGACAGGAGAAAGATGGCTCGTTTGTGTCCATGACTGGAGAGCTTGCCCAGCAGTCTCCGCCAGAAACCTGCATGTTCATGGTCATGATGAGTAGTTTTGGACATGTGCCAAAAAGTGGTCAGGATAGGAAGGAAGATGATAATGATTTAGGTTCGAAGACGGAAAACGGCTGAGTTTATATGCAACTGAGTTCCGACGACAATAATAGACCGAGATATACTCCAGACAGTTTGGGGGCTGAACAGATGTCAAACAGGATGGAGACCGAAGGAGTTCCTTTTACTTATACTTCTCCAGAATGATCTTCTCCCTTCCCAGATCGGGGGAAGGGAAGAGTGAAGGAAAGAGAAAAAATAATAAGGGACGGACATTCCGAAGCGCAAGGACCGAAAATTTGGCAGACAAGCCCCAAGACCGGCAGCTATAGACAATTTTGCAGGGCCCGTCTGGGTCCGCAGAGGCCGAGTGGAGCAAAGCCGATGCGATGAGATGTGAGGCTATCCCGAACGGGGAGGCCCTCTGGGTCAAGCCACAGTTATCTAGCCACAGAGAGCCAGCCACGGCCTCAGCCCTAGACCGTGGCTCATGCACCGCTGGCCTTGTCCGAGTGGCTGTGCTCCCTTGCTTACGTTTTCCATTCACTAGTCGAGTGTACACCGAGTTATGCTTGCTTCTCTCTGCGTTCTGCATTCTGCTGTCTGCATTCTTCCTGCTGGTTCACGCTCGACGGTCTTACTCACGCTTCCGCTAAGACCTTCTGGCTTCCTCTTTCGGGTCAAGCGGATCAATGAAGTCTCGGCTTTCTCCATGACACTATATGACGCGCTGCCCCTATCCAGGCTCTAAATCTCTTAATGCTCAACCACACTAAGACACTAAGACACTAAAGCTACTAAAACACCCCCCCAAGATCCCAGGAACCTGGACACTCCTCCTCCCTCACCACGCTAAGTCAAAGGATTTGGAAGACCTGACGACTAGTGTCGGTTGATCCTGGTCTCGTCAGCTCGCCATCTTTTGCCTCAAGAGGATCGCCGTGGATCATGGAGAAGCTCGGGGAGGGGAAACAGCTAAGGAATTGAGTCTTCGTCGCGACACTAACAGTCATCATAATCAACCTCAAGCACGCTACTCCGGACTGCGTGGGCAGGGGAAATTCAATAGTCGACCAAACCGTCTCCAAACGAGATGTGACAGCTCTCGTCCCCTTCCGTCAGCGTGTCAACGATTGAATGATTTTATTTTTATTTTTTATTTCTCTATATTTTATTTCCATACTGAGTACGGAGTATAATTTATTATTCTTTTTCGATCGTTTATTTTCGCTCATTCTCCACCCAGGCACAGGACTCCCTGGGAGAAAGTGTAAGCGCACACGCACACACATGGTCGGTCAGGACCGGAATCTAGGGCGACACAAGGAGGAGATAGCGTGCGTTTCGGTCGGGTTTCTCATCGTCACCATTACATATCGTATGCAACGCTGGGGGGGGAGGGAATAACAGTAAAAAACGTGGACTTGAAGGGGTCGGCGACTGGTAGAGACTGGAGGGCGACGCAAGGGGGAGCCGCAGTCTGTTCATCGGACACACCGGCAGATGAAGATCAGGTCCCAGACAGTCGCGACTACTGGGCCACTAAATCTGCATGCGGTATAGCCGATATGCCTGCCAGGGGGAAGTCTGAGTCTTTGAGAGTCTCCTCTCTCCTGTCTGCCTGTTGGGTCTTCTGGTGGAGTCGCTCGACCGAGGGAAGCCGACCGTCTACTGGTCCGTCATAAACTCCATACAGGATGCATCTAATATGGGGTCGATCGTGTCTGTCGTGCCCTGATTTGTCGCCTGACACGATGAGATCATGACTTTGTCACTACCAAAATTCAAATCATTCGCGTCGATGAGATTCATCATCAACCCTTGGTCTCGTAGCCTCGTCGCGACCTTTAGCGCTAGCACTACTCGAGCCTAGAGGATCGAGCAAATAAATTAAAATATTTTATTATAATCAAAAAAAAGCAAATGTCACAACCCAGGACCATGCGCTGACCGATTCCCCACTCTTGACTTCCCTGTCACTTGTCGACGGAGCTGTGGCGGGCTGTTTGCTGGCTTGCCCATGAGTTGCGATGCCACGATATAAAGCCATCAAGGTTTCTCACAATGGAGTGCGGGCTTATTGTTCTCCAGTGCCTTGGACTTTAAATCAATAAAGAGTTTCCTGGAGATCAACAGTCCCTATCTCAACCAAGACATCCATCCCATCTATTCCTCCATCTCGATCTAGATCGCCATCCCGCCTTCTCCGGTTCGCCTATATTTTGAACCCTCCATCCACCCTCCGAGTCCTCTCGACTTCAATCATTATGTGCTACAAGACCAACTACGAGCCTTACGTGAGTCCCAACCTTCTTTCTATCCATCTGGTCTCCATACTTATTCAATGCCCTCTAGACAAGCCAAAGTCAAAGCTTCGACATGACTCGCGAACGATCATCAGAAGAGATCCTCTACCCATTGGGATCTCTCTACCCACACGTCGTGGCCCTCCAACTCCAAGCCGATGAGAACCCATGGGCGCAGAACAACAACTTCTCCGGATACCACGATATCAGCTACTGGACCGAGATCTCTTCTGAAGGCCCGGCGGAGGATTACTCCAGACCCAGACCGAGTACCGCACGCAGGTACAGTGGTGAGTCTTCCCCTTCTTCCTTTTTCTTACCTGTCAGATCAGTTAACTCATGGTTCCATGCAGACTCCACAGCTCTAAAGTTTGTTTCCAGAATACGACGATTCCTCAGCCGAGACGAGATGCGCAGACGCCAGCGACAGGCTTGAACCTGCCTCAGCCTGAGTCTCGGCTAGATACGAATCCTTCTCTCTACGATTTGACTTTTCTTTTTCTTTTTCTTCTTTCCCTGTATCTATAATTAACTTTTCGGACATAGCCTGCCTTTCTTTTGCTGTTTCCTTCTTACCCGCATACACACATACACTCACAGACCACCAGTCATACACATTCCAGACACACGTTGTATCAGCAATATGCTTGAGCCGCTGCAAGCGAAATACCCTCTTGTCAACATTTCTTTTGTCATCTGCCATTCATGCATCTTGAAGATCTCTCATTGTCTCGGGACATTTTCACAATTGCTGCTTTTTCTTCTGTTCTTCTTGCGTCTTTTCTTTTTCGCTTCTTTCTTTCTTCCTTTTTTTTTTCTTTTTTTTATTATTGACTACATTATACACTCATGGATGGATAAGCGGTTAGGTTAGGGATTTAGCGAGGAGTTCGTTGGGCATTACACGCAAGGGCGAAACATAGCATCAAGCATTAGCATTATTTCGTTATCATCTATATAATCACAATTGAAGAACATCAAGCAAGATTAAATATCTATTACTCCATACTCTACTACATTTTCCTCCTTGTATGTGCATATACCAAGCACCTCTACACTCACTTCCTTTAACGAGTATACCTACAGTAAGACAGACGGACAGAAGGAAGAAAACGGAACCAACCTAATCCATCCAACCCAATCTAATCTCCATACCCCCCTTTTTTTTTCCTCAAGAAAGATTTAAAGATAATAAAGTTATAATCTAGAGACATCATGCACACACAGACCAGACATAAAATCGTAGATAATCGCGGCTAACTGAAAAATCCTCCCTCGTTCAAGTTGACGGCATCTGATCTCTCTCATTTTCTACCCGTCTCTGCATACTTGACTTTCTCCTAGCCCCTTGTTCCTGTCTAACCCCTGTCTTCGCTCTAGCTCACCCCCGCATTCCATCTCGTCTCATCTATCGTCTCATCTCATATCATATGCATCATGTGCGCTACTGCAGCGTGTCTCCTGCATCCTGCATCAGGGGGTAGCGAGCTACGTATGTACCTACTAACCCTCCGCTTACGGCGATTTTGATTTTGATTTTATTGTTGAAAAAAAAGAAAATTGACAAGTGCAGGATCGAACCATTCCCTCCCTCCCTCTCAGGTCACATAATCACGGGTACACCCGTGCGAAGTGGGAATGTGTAGGTTCGGCGATGAGGAGGAAAGGGATGTAGAGATGACAGATCAGATGGAGTCGGTATGTACGTAGGTGCATGACTAGATCGTGGCCCGTCCAGTTCCTTCAGTCCCTCCGTATGTGCATGCACACGGTAGCTGAGAGGGGTTGCTCAAGGGAGAATTTTCGAAGCGGTGAAGTAGCTGAAGCTAATGTTGAAGTCAAAGTCGAACAGGCTGTTCGTTGTGGAGTATACTGGGGTGGATCACGTAGTGAGTTGGTAGTTTCGAACTGGCCCTGTGGAATCATGCTAGAAGCTCCTTTCCTTCTTCTCGCTCCAGCCTCCACCGATGAAACTAACCTAACTACCTACCTACCTACCTACCTCTGTCCCTCTCTTCTCGCTAACAAGCATCCCTGTCAGTACGTGCATGGCGTTCGTGCATTCAAGCATGCGGTGTAGAATCGAAGTGTATAGATCATATTTTTCGGGTCTCTTTCCGCCGTGGTTTCTATTGTCTTGCAGCTTTTGACGGTGTAAGCGACGAATAACTAGAGTAGTTCTTGGGGGGGCCTGAACACTGAATGCTGAAGAAAGTGACCCACAGTAGGAAAGCCCGTGGGTTTGTCAATTGTCATTACTGACCCTAGCTAACCACTGTATGTATCCATAGAGGTATGAACATGCGCAGCGGTGTAGGGTCCGTTCCGGATAGGGACAGGAAATAAGATGGGGTCTATCCAATCCATTCAGCTCTTGATAGGCAAGCGGCTTGGTATATGACGATATGAAGATAAGTTAGAGTAGTCAGTTGATTAGGCCTTGTGGTGGTTGGAATGTGGGTTGGTGATCACCCGGGTGTGTCAGTCGGCAGTATCCATATTTGCCCCAAGGGGTGGATGCAGTAAGTAGTGAGGCGCCTACGGAGAAAAGAAACCTGGAATGAGAATACCTGGATTAATTGTGTGAGTGTGGGTATGACGGTCAAAGAAGACTCCGCTTGCATGTAAGTAAGTCATGGTGACATGGTCATCCCTCCTATCTGGTCCGATCGCCGTCTGTGCCCTGGACAAGAAGGCAAGGTAAGGTTACTCCCGCCCCGCCCCCTTTCAAAATGCGGGATTTAGGATAATTACAATAGTCTGGGGAAGACTGGGCTATTGATTAGCGTACGTCTGATTTCGGGTGCCGTTGTAGGTGGAAAGGGTTGGGGGCGTCCCTTGATGTCCGAGCTTTGGGTTTATCTGTCTTAGAGGATGATTTATCAAAATCGAAGTATACTACGTAACTATACGGCATTTCAATAGTAGGCATAGAGGCATTATCACAAGCCAGGGCAGAAGCTAGTACTACGGGCACTACTACTCCTCTGTAGCTAGGACCATAGCCCTAACAGAGTATGATTATAATAGTATGCACATAGCAAACTCACTACTGCAGACAAAAAACTTAATGATAACACCACCATCACGCAAAACTACTCAAAATAAAGGAAAGGGTCTTATCCGCGCCCCAACCGCCTTACCCGACATAAAACCCCCAAAATCTTGCAGAAACAACCCTCCTAGAAAGTCAAATCCAGGAGAAAATGAAAAAGAATATCAGGAACAGGAGAAAATAATCGGGGTGAAATCCACTCCAAATACGTCATCGACTGACCGTCTCTCGATCAATGAACCGACTACAGGCTGACTCGCCAAACCCGCTTCCTTTATCCCTCCAATCAATAGCCCAGCCAGCTCTCGCAGCAGCATAGTCATGGTCAAGACGAAAAGCCACAGAACGAGTCAGAAGGCAGGATCGTCTCGCGCTATCAGATCCAAGACCAGGAAAACTCGCTCTTGGGGATCGGATCAGCTCACAGCAAGCCAGATCAAGACCATCCCAGCACATCGCATCGCTCGATCAACCCGGTTCCATCCAATCCATGGTGTGTATGCTATCGGCCCTGCTTGACGATCAGGCCAGCGCAGGCCAGCCTTGCAGTTGCATAATCCGGGTAATAACCCCTGCAAGTGATTGATGCGTTTAGCTTTGGCTTTGGCAGTGCTGCAGGGAGGATCGTTTGTGGGGCACTTCCATGTTCGTGGCAAGCAGGTAGGCAAATCGGCAGGTAGGTAGAAAAAAACAGGGAATAACGAGACCCTGACGACGGAGATAGTCGCTTCTTAGGGGGGTGTGGTGTTGGCTGGGGTTGGTATATCATATGCAGCAGGGTATTGTGCCTGTCCTACTTACCCTGACTCGTATTTACCTTCTGCTATGATCTTCGAATCCCACTCACTCAGAATTCAGGGACTAGGCACCACTCAACGATGAAGCTCATTTTCCTGATCCAGGAGATAAGGCTGCCAGGGGAGAAGGATCGGACAGAAAGAGCACACACACACACACACACACACACAGCACAGACCTATGGAAGAGAATGCGGTGACTATTGCATTTCCTATACAAGATGCACTAGCACTCTATGATCGACAAGGAAGAAGCAAACATGACAATAGCGCTGGGTTCAATTGCGTGGAGAAAGCCTGCGTGAAGTATTAGCAGCCGTTAGTATGCATAGCTTAAGTCGATCATTTCTTTTGTGTACTCCGTACATCATATACGGGTAAAAGCTCAAGATCCGGGTTAATAGCGCAACAAGCGGATTAAAAAAGCTGTCCCTGCCTTTGGTTTCGGGTTGAGGTGTTTGAGTTTCTGGGCTGGTGACAGAAATTAAAAAGCTGAGATAAGCGATGTGCTACGAGATGTTACTTCAAGGTTCCCGGGAACAATAATTGCCCCAGGTTGAATCGCGCAAGTATTGGCCAATATCATTCATTGGTAAGCCTGTTGGTATGGAGAGATGCCTACAGTCTGATCGTTTCTGAAAGGAACAATAAACGCTTCACAATATGAACATAATACATGAAACCAATTTCCCAAGGTCCCCCCAATTCCCCTTCCAAGTGGAACGCCTTTTAACTACATAAGAATGTTTGACTGGCCCTCTTACATGTTGTTAGAGTGGTCGGCACGGTTGAAGAAATCCTCCCACGGATCCATGTTGTACATGACATTCGAGTCGGGCTCCAGCTGCGATGGGAGACCCTCGAAGTCCATGGGTCCAGGCTCGTAAGTGCCAGGGTCTGGGAAACAGGCCAACGGATCCTCAAACATACTCGGAAGTTCACCGCCAAATCCGGCGCCGTTCATAAACAGGAGACTGTCGTCAGGCTTGCCCTGGGCGAAGGGATCGGCAAAGGCGAACATCGAGTTCTCAGGATATGTGCTGACAGGCTCGTACGGGGAGTGGGTGGTTCCCGTGGCGGGCGTAAGGAACTCTGCCGACCCAGAGTTGGGAGTCGCAACGCCGTTCATCTGAGCCTGGCCCATGTCGAAGCTGGTCGAGGCAGACGGCAGAGTCCTATAGTCGTTGAACTCACACGGAGGGGATGCTCCTCCAAGGGAGCTGCCATTCGAAAAGAGTTGGAAATCCTCGGTCTTCGCAGCCATGGAAGGATCCGCGAACGAGAAGGACATGTGCTGTGGGTACGCGGCCATCTGCTCGGGCGAGGAGCTGGCACCGCTGGTAGGAGTGGAGAGCTCAGGCACCTGCTTCATCGCCGGGGTGGAGATTTCGTGGATTTCGTGGTCCTGCGACGAAGCCCGAGAGGCTCCTCGCTGGGGAGTAATACGCTTGGCAATGCGACCATTGTTCTTGGATCGTACATACTTCCACTTGTGGGTCTTCTCCATGTGCTGCTTGCAGTTGCTCTGTCGCTTGGACTGGTAGGAGCAGGACGGGAACAAGCACTTATACATCATGGGAGTGTTGCAGTGCTTGTCGTTGTAGTGGCGCTCGGTCTCCTTCTCGGTCGGGAAGCCCAGTTCATGGTACTTGCAGGTGGGCTCGGCACACTTGAAAGGGCGCGAGTGGGTCTTCTCATGTTTCCTAGGCTCGGTCAGCATCTTGCATCGATCCGTAGCGCGACTGAAGTTCCTTACGTTAGGTCACAGGGTCTTTGGAAGACCTTGTCACAGAATTCACACTTCTTGTTGATGTCCATAGGAGGAGCATTCTTCTTGCGGCGAGCCATCGAGCGCACGACTCCGTCATCAGCCTTGCGCTTCATAGAGGGTCCCGAATGTTCGATATAAGCCTCGCCGGTACGCATAGAAATGGCTTCGTCATCCTTGTGGGCGACGAACTCGGCAGGGCGTCCAGTTTTGGCGATACCGCCCTCGAGGGTAAGGCGAAGGTCGCTAAGAAAATTAAAAGTCAGTCCCCGGTCTGCACCTTCCTAAGTGAAAAAAGAAATAGTAGCATACATCACACCATCAGCCTTGTCGCCCTTCTTGCGTGCCTCTGCACGGAGCTGGAGACCACGAGACGCCTCTCGCATGGATTTGAACCGGTTGATCTGCGAGACAAGGTCGAGGAAGTAACCGTTGGTGTATGGCCGGTCAGCCGGCATACGCAAGTCCCGATCATTGAGATGGGGAACGGTGCCGAACAGACAAGAGATAGTGACCTGGCAGAATTCAAAGTAGGTTCTGATGCGAGCTTTCACGTCCTATTTATTCATCTTATTAGTGAGGGTCCCTTGTAGGATGAACCGGGCGGGAGAATGATAGACTCACAGGAGCGGACATGAGCAGGGTCTTTTCGAGATCACGCAGACAGACGATCTGGTCCTTCTCCATGCGCTCGTGGACTCGGCGGACCAGAGTGTGGTAAGGGCGGAACTTCTCCTCCTTGAGCAAAGGGAAGAGAATACGACCCTCGATCGCCAGGCGACCACGGTTGCTCAACTTGCGAGTAGAGAAAGCCGTACTTGCCGGTGCCAGGGGACCAGTAGTGACTGCGAGGCGTTAGTGATGGGATGAAATGCAAACGATCAAAGGCGTGCTTCGATGACATACCCTTGTTCTGCTTGGAGGTCGCGGTTTCGACGCTGCAGACCGAGGATCCCAGGCCACTATCCGAGGCATGACAGTTCACTCGTCGAGTCTTTGCCGGAGCGTCCTTCCGCAGAACGGGCTGGCTGCGTTCGGAATCCATGTCGGACTGTTCTGCAAAATTCGACGGCTTGACCGGAGCTCTTAGGGACAGACGAGAGGCAGGCGAGTAGGGACCATCATTATCGGAAGGGTCTGACCGCGACAAATCATTTTCCAGGCTATCGAGGAGGTTGGACATGCGTTGTTGGCCAGTAGCGATGGCTTCGAGGGCCTCGGGGCTGGTAGGAGAGCGACGAGGCAGCAAAGGGAAGTGCAACAAGGGATCACGGCTCTTGGGCGGGCGGGACGAGGAGTTAAACGTTTCGCCTTTTCGCAAACAGGGACTCGAGTGTGCTTCGGATCCGAGGGGGCTAGGAGTCGATAGCATCACTCGACGGCGTGGGTGCCGGTGAGTTTGAGTCTCTACACCCTGAGTGGTCGACATGGTGGTGCGAGTCGCCAGACTCCTTCAGCACGGTCGGTTTTGGTAAAAGCAAGGCCGTACTCGTCGGGACGTTTACACTCTTATATCTTATCATCAGTTGTCTGTCGTCTCACATCGGATTCCCTTTATTCCCCGGGGAAGTACCGAGAGAGATAGAAGAAAGACAGGTGGGTGATCGAATCAGCCGTCTCTCGAGAACTTACGGTGACCTAAGATGCCGTCCTGTCTGACCTGGCTTGACGATGGAAGAAAGTATCCGCATGCAACGGCCGCTAAGATCGAGCAACGGCAAAAGGGGATAGAGACCGGGTCGAAAAAACGGGTTTCTTGGGACTCGATGGCGTTCGAGATGAAATCTTAGTTCCAAAAAGAATCCTGGTGGTGGAGAGAAGGCAGCAGCGGGTGGAGGGATGACACAGCTTAGATATTGGGACTGGGGAAGAGAGGAGGGAAGCAGATCTGGGATCTGGCTGGAAAGAAAGATGAAAGTCATTCAAGTCATGGAGGCTGTTTGCTGGGGCTGATGCGTTTTGGATGTCTGCCTGATAGACGAGTCGGACTAGGCCCGAAGTGGGTAAGCTCGGCGGGTCCGACCGGGCGTGATTGGTCTGCCCTAGTGAGTTGCGCTCCGCCGCGTTGAGTCCCCTTCGATGGTAATCATGAATACCGCCGCTGTACAGGCTCCGTACAGGGGCTGCCGGGCCATGACGCTCCGACGTCAGCGTATTTGAGAGCACCCTTACGTCGTCCGTACGTCGCCCGTACGGCTCCCCCCCGTGGTCGGGGCCGTTGTGTCCCGTTCTCCGCGCCTCGCGGTCCCTATTTCAAGGGCAGCAGGCCAATCATTCCCGGCTCACTCAGTCCTGGTGGACCCGGTTACAGATGATTCCGAAAATAGTTCGCAACCCTTTTCTTTTTGCCTTTCTTGAATTTCATCGCCAACCAAATTGACTTTTTCTCGCTTTTCCCCTTTTCGGTCTCCGCGGATCTCGGACACTTCGCCCCCCCCATAACATCCCCCATCGTTCTCATCAGGTATAAAATTCCAGGGGACATCATTCGAAGAGTCTGTCGATTGTTCTTCTCAAATTGAGGAGGCCTGAAGGACCCATGCGGCGATGAGGCGTCCTCCAAGGCAGTCAGAAAATGCCGGCGCTTTGAGTTTCACGCCGGCCCATGTCATAGCCTCATAGGAGCCCATCATATGATGACATGCGACCAACATCCTCCCATAGATATCCGTCTAATGATTCCTAATAATGATGAACGGGACACGATGGCTCGACATTGGCGTTCTCGCCCCTCGGACAAGGATTCGGTGTTACGGGATTCGATTGCTTACGCCCGACAGTGCGACCCTGTATTTTCCACCCCGTACATACTGTACACGCTGGTCTTTGAAGGAGTGGTTTATGTGCAGTTCTCCGCACCGTCGCTCACTCTCGTCCAGTGAGCTTGTCTTGCTGCTGCGATCTTTGCGCTCATTCGTGCGAGGCCATGAGCCTCATCCTGATGACGCTGGGCTGCATTTATTCCGAGTGCTACAATCTTCTCCCTGCTTCGTACAGCCCAGGCCAGGGTCACTGCACACTGCTCACTAGTCAGTACAGTACATAAGTACTCCGTACGGAGGTACTCCATCCAGTGGAGGGCATAGCCACCCGACCGCCAGGATTTGGGCTGCGCTCCAATCAAACCCTTAGACCTGGGTAAGACCTGGGTAGGAAATGTCGGTGTAACTTTGTATGTTTTTATTTCTGTTGTTGACTCCGAGTGTCACAAAAGTAAATAATTATCATTATTCTTGCTATGGCAACCATGGATCATCTGGCATACTCCGTCCGAGATGCGGAATACAAGGATTCGATTCTCAATCCCTTTTCCATAACTTAACGGCACGGCACGGCCGGAAGCTTTCGTGCTACGATGCAGTGGGTTTATGTCTTATGAACTGTCACTGTGGCTAGTCTGCTAGTCCTGTATTCTCCGTATCCCGTTGCATCGCCACACTGCTAGCTGTTCTTTGATCTCTCGAATGCTGTTAACCCCCGACGCTTCCAAAAGTAGTTCTCCCTCAGTTTTCCCCTCCCCAAACAGGCAACACAGTTTTCTCGATCTGGAAATCTCCCCAACGACGAGCCTCGTGTTTTTCCAGAACTCTCTTCCGTTTGGGGTGCCGTGACTGCCGTCTCTGCCGTGGCTTCTTGCGTAAGTGAGAGGCTAAACTGGCTTGGCTGCTCCTGAGGCACCAACATTCTGATAAGGACGTATCAGAACGTGACATCACACGTCGGTCGAGATTCGGCCAAATTCTTTAGGCTCAGACAATTATAATCTAATCGTTGTTGATCTCCCTGGAATTGAGCAGCCTGCCGTAACAAATGTCGCTCGGGCATTCTGTCCCTTCAAGCTTACTTCTTCTCTCTACCTAGGGCTAAACAAAATACCCTATCAGAATGTAGGGATGAAGGTGCCGCGATTTCACCCGGGTCATCGCCTGTCATACTGAACTCTGTTTGGTCCTGTTCCTGCAGTTATTCTTGAATTTGTGTGCCTGAACCTCGCAATCGTCGCATCATAGAATAGTTACGGCGATTTGATGATAAAGCACACTCCGCAGACAGGAATTGGATTATCGTTCTAAAATTACCTAGCTGTCATATTTGAGTACGGGGATGAGCTCAGTTCTGTACTCCGTATGGACTGCGATCTCCGTGCATTGACTTTGACTTTGGAGGCTGCCTATTCCCAGATCCGCGATCCGAATTGATTTGAATTATGCTTCTTCGCTCACGCCGCCCAGTCTGGACACGTTGCCTCTCAAAGGTTGTGTCGATGGGTTCGATGTACGGTTTGGTGTCTTACTGTCCGCATTTGGGTTTACTCCTCCGTTTGTTGCCCCTATGGTGAGAGCCTGATCGGGTTCTTTGAGGCGGCTCCTCAACGGCGAGCTTGGTCTACGAGGGGATCGAGGGGGCTGGGTCCGACATGATGATGTTGTCATGGGACGAATCATTTTTTCGTTCTCGAGCGATGGCTATTCAATCATGCCTTAATTTACAACACAAATAGGTGGGTGTGCTTTCAATAGGATTTGAATAGGATAAGAAGTCATATCACATTGACTGTCACATTATCATCAACTACAGCCACTGGGCAATAAATGCCGGCCCATGATGTTCTTTGAATAGATATATCGTCGTTGGAGAGAGTCGTAGAAACTAGAGGACTTGTCGACATATTAGGTATTGCAAGGACTGGTCATTGACTGCCTAACTCAGGGTTTTGACCAAGTTGGTAGTCGCAATGCCTGTTTTCTTCGCGCTTTCTTTCTACATCTCAAGAGTAGGCAAACAAGGGCTCAGGAGGTTTCGCGTGTATAAATGGCAGAAGACGACCTCGGTGCACCTGGTATGACGGCGGAGCCAAACATATATTGGCATCTTCTTCAATTGAAGATAAAGTAGTGACGAGCAGAACGAAGCTTTCTACTATACCATTGAAGGATCATGACTCTGATGAGCATACAACTAACATGTACATACATATCTGTAGAGTAACCATAGAACAAGACATCTTACCCCCAAAAAGGTACCGTTAATAATCCTAATGGTCTCGTGAAGCGGTTGGACCTCGGCTTCGGGAAAGGGCAGAACGCGCGGGCGGTGCCGAAGAACTGCTCTGGGCACCTCCCCGGACTTTCTCCAACGTCTCTCGGCTGGTGAATCCATGACTGGGGGGAGGTCTGCGCTTTCGATCTGAAATTGGCATCCCTGACCGATGGACTCGTTTCCTTGAATCTTAGAGTGACCCGATCTTCCCCAGTTCCCCTACCTACCAGGTCGTCTCTTTCCACCGGACAACTCTCCTTTCCCCGCTCCGATCGACCGACCGACCTGCGCAACACAATCTCCATCATGGACATTGAGCCTCGTGGTATAAATTCCGACCAGCCAAAACGTCGCAGACGGACTGCTGGTGGAAAGCGATTGCGCAATAGAGCCCCGATCTCTGCACGCCTGGCTTTGGACGATCAGCTCCGCGGGAACGTGGGTTTTCTGTCCGATGACTTGGCGACCGACCTCTTCCAGTCGTCGCCTTCCATTGGTATGAGATGCTGCCCCCTCTGATCACTGCATTAATCTGCTAACTGCTGCCGTCTGTCGGGCACACCGCAGGATTAGACCAAGATGGGAACGATACTCGCTATATCGCAATTTCTCCGTATGTTCCGGGCCACGGCTCTGTCGAGGACCTGACCTGGACCGTTATCCCAGTTCGGCGACAGTCCAAAGATCGCGCCTACAACATTTCTATTCCGCATTCCACTGTCATATTCCCGGACTTCACGGACTCCCTGCAGCCTTTCATCCAGGCATTGAGCAAGCTCGACCCGACCCGACCTATTCAAGCGCAGCGTGCGGTGGAAATCAAGATCTTGGATGTGGTACCGTTGCATTTGGATACGATCTACGTGACAGTGGAGCGCAACTTGCTGCGAAATCACGATGAGATTCAGAATAAGTTCGGTGGTGGATTCACCAATAGCCTGCAAGGACCTAACGGGCTTTGGGCAAAGACGGGAAAGGGAATGGAGACCAAGAAATACTCGAAGAAGGCCGCCGTGGAGGCAGAGGAGAGGCTCACGGTTGCCGTGCGTGAAGCGCTGGGAGCGCAGAATATTGTGCACACCGGTGACGTGCTGCAGCTGCCTCTGCCACCGCACCCCATTACCTATGCCAAGCCACCGCCGGCGCATATCTCGTTTTGCGAACCTGTATCCCAGGGCCTTTTGTTGCCGACAACGAAGATCGTTCTCATTCAAGCTAGGCCGCACGGTAGCCGGACCCAACGAAGTTTGCGGTCTGGGTCAGGCCTGCTGAAGCAGGTTGCCGAAGATGAAGCCGACGACACCTCCAACGAGCAATTTTATTCCGCGGCGGAGGACAAACCGATTGAGAGCAGTACGGAGATGGAAACTACATCAACCCCAGAAGAAT